ATAACACTTCCTGATGATAGCATCACAAATGATTGGGGACCAGGCGGGAATATCTTAATTTCTTGAGCTTCTAATCTTTATCTCCCATCAATTTGGAAATGCTTTCCTTTCTTAAACAACCTGTTGTGTCCCCCACTGTTACTTAAGGTGGGGCAGTATCCAATGAGGAGAGCCAGTTAGGATTTGTGCGCCTTCCAAGTCCAGTTCAAAATTTCAATACAAAATGTTTGTGAGGGACATTGAAAGTATATGGATTAATACAGTGAAGAACTGAAATATGATTTTGGAAATATATATCATTACCATATTGAACTAGATGCTAACCTTTAAAAGTTACAAATGTATCCAGTATGTCCATGGGATGAGGGAATGATTAAAGATCAATTAGATATTACCATGGTGCAGCCACAATGAAGGAAAATTTCAAAGATATGCTGATCTGAGAATACGGTAAGTGCTTTGAAATTTATTATCCCCACCCCCCTCTCATATCAGATATTACTAATTAAAAAAAATATGTTTATATGTTAATTATCAGTGTATCTAAGTTTGATACATTTAATGCAGAATGCTATCAGGAATTACAGTTGAATTGAGAACTATAAATATGATAAGAACAGATTAGGTGAGAGTGTACAATTGACAGCCTCTGTGCGGTATCCTATGAATTACATGTATTTAAGTTGCTAATTAAATATTAATGCATATGATGTTTCTATTGACTGGCTTTTCATGGCCAACGGAACCTTGAAAATATACTAACTTCTTATAACTTCAATTTTTTTGCAGATAAAAGTTGGAATCAAAGGATCCACAGATTAATCACGCACCCTAGCTGAGCTTGCAGATGGAGTTCTGATGTTGGCACTCATTTAAAGGGAATGCAAGGAAAAAGAATGGAACAGGATGAATTGATTATGATTCTTATGACCACTGGATTATTATTTTAAACCGAAGTATGACTGCCACTCATACATTCAGCAAAGACAGAAACATCTACTTTTATAGCCTCCAAGACAACTTAAAACCATCTAGTACTACTGCAGTCAAAAATGTTGACTGGACATTTACATTGGATGTTCTATGTTAATCTACTGAAAAGGGAACTATTGGATAATAATACCTTGATTGATGTGTACTGTACATGATTATAATAATTTAATTTAAATTTTTATTTCATTTTAAGTTTAAAAGATGAAGTTCACTTAACATAATTATGCATGCATCTATTTACATGTACATGTTTCTCAAGAATATTTAAAATGTAATTGATGAAAAATGTTTTAGAATTACATAATTATATAATGTTTGCAATCTGAATTTTGTTCTATTGTTGCTTGTTCCAAGTGAGCAATTGTTGCACATGAGCCTCATGAGACTCATGTGAGCAAATATTCTAGGTGAGCAAAATGATTCCTCATGTGAGCAAAAAATGCTCATGTGCAGAACCCCGCTCACGTGAGCATTTCACCTAATTTGCATGTTAAATTGCACATGAGACTCACGTGAGCAACTCAGGTGAGGAAATCTGGTTAGTCCTCGCGTGAGCTGCTCATGAGCAGTTTGTGAGAATGGTTTGGTATGGGTTGCCATTCAAGATATCATAGGCGTTGTCCCTGATGGCAACAGAATCATTGAGTAATTGCTTTTTCTAACACAATTTGACTATTCCTGGTTTTATTTCTGGCCATTAATTCAAGGCATATATGATTAATCAACAGAAAACCATTCCATATACATGATGTACAATGGATTTTTCCATCAAATAACTCTGCATCTGAAAACAGCAAGGAACTTTGATGCCATTGTATCATTTCAATAAAAACAGCAGAAGTATACTTCAAATGAATTCAGCATATAACATAATTAGTGTGAATTAATTAGCAATAGTCATATAAGATTTAAAAACCAATGTAGATAAGAATCCAATGAATGATTGCAATCCCTGGACTCATTACACAGAGTGGAATAACAGTGCTGCAGGGTTTCTTTAAACACTAGAGAATTTGGACTGCAGAGGCAGGTTACCATTAATGTGAGCTGGGAGGATCTATTAGTCTACTGTCTAGTATCCTCAGTATTCCATATTACCCGGTATGATGAATGAAGTGTTCAAGAAATAAATCCCAGTGTGGACAGGTCATCATTTTCAAATAATTAGTCTACACTTTTTGCTGTTTCTCTATATTCAAATGCAGAACAAATGGAATTTCTTTTATGAAAGGGATGGCGAATCCATCATATTCAGATGTGTTTATGCATTAAAATACTCTTTTTATGTTTTAAAAAAAATGGCAAAATGCATAGATCAATACAATAGCCTTCTAAATGAATTGCCTTTCCCACATGGCATTGCAATGATCACTTTCTGGGACTTAAATAAAAAAATACAAGACATGTTTATTTAAACAATAAAATGCTTTCTTTGTTTGTTGTTACTGGAATGAACAGAAGCTGCTGTTGCAGAAAAAATACATAACCCGCTATGTAATTTTTTTCTGCAATAGCTGCGACCGTTCATTCCAGTAATAACAAACAAAGAAAGACATTTTATTGTTTATATTTATATCTGTTTAAATTATCATTTTAAGTAGGATTAAAAATATTAATTATTGTGTTAATGATGCGAACGTCTTTGTACGTTTCATTGATGGAACGGCCAATGATCAAGAAATCTGTACAGGTGATATGCCTAATGTAGTTTATGCAGTGATGAACGCAATGGGTTTTCTTAAGAAATAAAGAAGAAAATATTCAGTGTATGTAAATATATTTTAATAAGTTACTCTTGTACGATATGTTTTGGTCTAATGTAATGTTAAAAATTTATTAGAGATTGTGTCATTAATGTAGATTTCTATTTAATATTGATGACCAGTAATGATGACATTCCATTTACACACCAGTATTTTGAATCATTTTGAGATTTCAGCCAATTAGAATAGAGAATTGTCTTTTTTATTTGTTGTTGTTATGATGTTATAATGGTATTATACTTCAGTATTCATATTCATCATTGGTTTGAAAACAACAATCAAAAACTATATTGTTTATAAAAGAAAACATGTTGACTTTTTGTGCATGGTCACAGGAAAACAATATTTATATGGGACACTGTAGAAAGTGCCCTTCCCTTCATATGATCTCATGTTAATGAATGTATGATTAACATCTATAAGTAAATTAAAGAGTATAAAGACAGAAGAAAAAAATCCTCCATTTTGCTAAAGGTTTCTGCATGTGTCTCCTGGGGGAAAATATGCAATGCACATAATACCAAGGTCTATTTAATTAGTCTAGAACTATATAAAACCAGGATTTGATGGGCTTTTACAATTCTGTAAGTTTCTTTCTTCATGTTTTTGGGAAATAGCTTGGATTGCGTGACTTTTAAATTGTCCAGACAACTAAATGTGTGGGGCCCAGAGGTATCAAATGTTTGGGAAATTTCTTTGCAATTTCAGTGTTAGCTTTGAAAGATTCTAAATTTAGTATAATTGTGTTTTTCACAATTTAAATTACTCCAAACAAGAATATAAATTATAAAAAAAAGTTTTAAATGTACAATGCTTGTTCCACTTAATTTCTAAAAGCCTGTACACTTGTCTGAGTACAAAAATATTTCTATGTTCACTGCACACATGAAGGGAGGGTCTTTGTTTGTCATGTCTGCTTTTGGTAATTTATACTGACTATGTCCTTGAATGTCTTGTTGTAGCTAAGGAAATATAATGTCCAGTCATTTAGAGGCAAATAGCTGGTATATTTGCTTCCTATGGCAAAAATTGAAATCAACCGTATGCTTCCTTTTAGTCTTGATCTTGATAAATAGATTGTGCAGGGCCCATTGCTGTTAAAATTGGGAAAAATTAGCAACCTTTCAGAGAAATTGGGGGAAATCAGTATACATTAGAATTTAATCTAATTTTGGTGTATGATGTTTCTTATCAACCAAATTTTAGAGGGTAATGACTATTGGGCAACTGAATGCATTGGAGTAAAGGGTAACATTTATTAAAATTTGGAAATGGGGCCCCTCCGGTGGTTCAAAATGAGCCCTTTCGATGGCCACCATTATATTGACTATCAAGAGATCTGAGTAAGGGAAACTCAAGATATCTAATTTTGATGGGTGGAAAAGGAGGTGGGGTGTTACTGAGCGAAGGATGAGAGTTAATTGTGAGTGAGAGGTGGATATGCTCTAGATATACAAGAATTTTAAAGGGGACTAACATTGGGCATTAGAGTTTATTATCGTAAATGATGAATTCTGTGCTGATTTTGAATGTTACGGTTGTATCTAAACATTGATCTTGGAGTGTTTTAAAAAACATCTCTATCTGATTGAGTGATAGATCAGACAATGTCTAAACAATACAGTCAAACTTGTCAGGAATTTACAAGGACAGTCGAGAAGTTTTAAACCCCAGATAGTTTTTGAAGAATGAATGAAATATTTTAGGTGGGCAGAAAATATAAGAATTGCAATATATACTAGCTTCATTCATGAGTAAATTTGACTTAGTCTTGATTTTGAGTTTCCTCAGTGGGATTTGAATTTTACCGAGTGTGACATTAAGTAACATCATTGGTTGATTTTTTTTCTTAATATTACTGGTAATTAATTTTTATTCTTGAGGCATTCATTCAGAGTGGAGTTATTTATAACACATAGGCAATTTCACTCATTAATAAAGGTATTGAGATTGTTTTTGATCAGCAAAATATTAATAATTTTAAAATTGAGATCAAGCATTAAATTTGAACATACGTAACGGGGTCAAAAATAATTTTTAATTTTTCTTAGACTGTCACTATTTGCCTTACATTTATATTAAGTATGCTTGGACAAATTTCCGCGGAAAGTTTGTGACCGCGTTCATAGCGTAAATTAATACCACGTGGAATAAAGTACTTCTACAGTAATCAAAAATAATTTTTTGACAAAAAATTGGGTTGATTTTGATCACTCTTAATTTGTCTGTCTTTTCTATTTGTAGAAGGATTTGGAGCAGGCTGACAGAATGCGAGGGACTGGGGACCAGCTAATTACCCAGGACAGCTACGCGGTGGACTCGATCCGCCCTAAGTGTATTGAGCTCCAGCGAATGTGTGACCAGTACAAGTCACTACTGAGGAGACGCAGGGAGATGCTCAATAAGTCACATGATCTCCAGGATAGAATCGATAAGGTCAGAGGTCAAACTACATGTACTTCTAGTTGTCAGCACTAAAGTTATATAAAAAAAACCATTTCATTACAAGAGAGAAATGATAGCATCCAGGGTTTGATTTCAATTTCAGTTTGATGAACCCCTTAAAGAGGAATGAATATTTTACTTCTTCAAAACCTGAATTGAGTGTTAAATTAAAATTCTTTGGATATTTTATTGCACTTTACAATGTTTTTCTTTTTTATCAATTATCAATATATATAAGATGAGTTGATTTTGTGTGACAGGCCAATAAATGGTGCAATAAGGGGGTAGAGCTGTTGTCAAACCTTCCACCTGAGCATTGTCAGTCAGCGGAGGACACACGGTCTGCCATTGAAGACATAGAGAACTTCATGACCACCTCCAATCAGCTCAGGCTGAACAATCCCAAGGAGTTCCGACAACTGTTTGAGAGCATGATTACTCCCGAAACCAGGGTAGGTGATAGCAAAATGTGTATATATGAAAATCATTGTATGAAATAGTTATATTTTCTGTGAGAAACTACAGTTTCATTGATAAGTAATTGTTAATATAGAATATCAAGAGCCTAATGCTCTTAAATTTTGAAGAAAAAAAAAGAATTTCTTTTGAAAATGTTCTAAAGTAGTTACATGTATTGCATATCGGTCTCAATTTCTTATTAAGAAAATTGTTATTTGTAGACGGTAGTTCAAAAGGTTTTAAAGAAAATGGAGGATGTGAAGACAATGTGTGAGAAGAGACGACACAACTTCCAGGCTAACATTCATAACCGTCAGCCCTCTGTCTCTGGACCAATCAGAGCCGTACATCCCGTGACAGACAGGAGTTCTGCTGACCGCCCGGAACGCTTACCCAAAGTCCCAAACGAAGCCAACAAACACATAGATATATACAACAAGTCAGCAAGGGTGAGAAAATGTTTGCTACTGTACATATAAAACACAAAAAAACAAAACAACTAAATCCAAATTTATCATTCTTGTATAGAACAGACATTTATTAAATAAGTAATGGTTCTTTTATTCAGCCTTAGGGTAAGACTGAACATTAATTTTTCTTATAATTTTTTTCTATGCATTTTTATGTACAAGACTAGTATATTTTATCTTTTTATATATTTTTTAAAGCTTTAGAATATTTGATATTGACATTTATTAGTAACTCAGTTCATTGACTTGTAGAAAGTTATTTCTTTTTTCTGAAATTTTTTTTGAGGTATCTACGTTGACAAGATTTATATTTTGTCAAATTAATGCCAAAGTTCAGTTATAAAGTTTGACTAAATGTCAATAGTACAGAGCTTTGGCAACAAAATCCCCAACAATCAAACTCTTACAGTTTTGATGTGAAGAAATATGGCTACATAATGAATATATCATAAGCCTATTAGTGGAATTATTGTTCATTTTGTTGGTAATATTCAGGTCAATGTTTGTTGGTTTGTTTACAAGTGCAAGTAAATTTAAATGTCGAAAACAAATATCTTTATTAAAGTGTTAATACCCATGCATAGTATGGTCAGTGTGAAATATGGCCTTTGAAATAAACTTTAATCAGTCTTTCAAGTGGTATTAAAGTTTATTAAAGTCCACTCAACAGGGATATATCGTTGTCTAGACAGATCTTCCAGTATATTTTATTAGTGGTTGAAAATAAAGCTGTAAATTTTAACCTCTACTTACTTTTCATACCAATTATTGACATGCATACCTATACATGTACCTGGGTAATGTCTGTAAAGTTTTCAGAAATCATGGACTGTTCCTAAGACTATCTATATCAGCACATATTTTGATTATGTATTTTCTGTTGTGTTTAATTAGATATGTATTATATTCAATGTATTTTTGACAGATACGGACAGACGTGCCGCCCCGCACCTCTCAGCATACGGCCCCCAGTGTCAGTAACATCTCGGACACAGGAAGTGAGAAAACGCGCAGCTCGCTGTCTTCCATGTCATTAGGATCATCAATATCTGATATCGACACATTACTGGCAAAGCGCAGGTGCGTAAATTTTTTTATCAATGCCGTTTGGTTTTTAAATATATGTCCAAAATTGACACTCAAGAGAAAAAAAAAATTAAACTTCAAATTTTACAGGTAGTAGAATTTCCAAATAATCAATTTGAAATTTATTTTATAACTGATTTGCAGAGTAATAGAAAATGAGTATATAGACTGTAATTTTTTTTTTACAATTCTGTCATTTATTTTTCTAGGCATGTATTGAATGAATTGATTGAATCAGAGAAAACCTACGTCTCACAGTTGGCAGATATTGTACATGTAGGTGGATTGTATTTACATTGAAGTTCCTTAACTTTGTAAAATTTCACATCTATGTTATTAGTATCAAGGTGAATACGTAAGGTTAAAGAAAAGCACAGTTGAAATATTGACATAATTTTAAGCTCATTAGCTCACCTTGACGAAGTCGAGATGAGCTTATGCTATACCCCCGGCATTGGCGTCGGCGTCCCAGGTTAAAGTTTTAGGAGCAAGTCCATTCCCAAGTAACTATAAGCCCTACCTGAACCAAACTTGCATGGATGATGTATCTAGGGATGGACACTACCAGACTTGCTTCAGATGCTGGATCTGACCTATATTTTCATTCCCAAGTAACTATAAGCCCTACCTTAACCAAACTTGCATGGATGATGTATCTAGGGATGGACACTACCAGACTTGCAAGAATATTGTTGTTGGGATAAATACTAAATATTAAGAAAATATGATGTGAGATTTGCCTTACTTATACTGATAACATTCGTTGAGGTGAGCTTCGTAATCTTTGATTACCTATGTTTAATGTTTCTAATGATCATTTGACTTAAGTCACCTGCATATCTGTGTAGAGTGCTGTTTGTAATCAATCATTCAACAAATGAGATGATTTGACTCTTTTTAAGCAGAAATCCCTATTTGTTTTTATGACAGGGTTATGAACGTAAGCTGGATGACCCAGAAATGAGACACTTGATACCCGATGCTCTCAGGGGCAGAAAAGAAATCCTGTTTGGGAATTTAGAACAAATCTACAGGTTCCATAAAGAGTAAGGATCTACATATTTTCTTCTTTTTTTTATTATTTTCAACAATTTTATTCCCAGCTAGTAATTCTGAACCTATTTCAGCTTACTCATTGAATTTTGTATGGATGAGGTATTTATAGGCCTTGCCTTCTGTCTAAATCCTCTTAAATTTTTCTGTCAATCAAATTATTTTTAAATCAACTTATATTCTTTCAAAGATGTTATACTATTATAATCCAGTGATTTCATCCATTGAGACTCTGAGATATGGGAGGTAACTCTAAATGACTTTTCTTTGCAGTAAATTTCTCCATGAATTAGAGGACTGCCATGATGCCCCAGCTAAAGTGGGACAATGTTTTACAAACAGAGTAAGTACTCAGTCACATTAAATAATGTAAATACCTCATGTTTGCAAACACAATAAAACTATTGTCATGTTGCAGTAAACTTTATGTTTTACAAATGGGTAACATCTGTAACTTGTTTTGGAAATGATGAATATAAAATTAAATTTTGTGAATTGAAAGCACTGCTCTTCTTTATAATTTTACAAAAATAAGGTGATGTTTAATGTATGTGATTGATTTTCCAGAAGGAAGAGTTCCACCTGTACAGTGTGTACTGTCAGAATAAGACTCGGTCTGAGACTCTCAGGAACCAGGTCGGGGATCAGAATCCCTTCTTCCTGGTGAGCCAAATATAGACATTCAATGTCATGTTAAAATGTTTGCTGATGAGATGAACATTCCTGTTATATATCATATAATAGAAAAAAAAATGTTGACAATTGTTTTAAAAAAAGACTCTTGAGCTATGTCCAGCAACACCCAATGGTCTTGTTAAAATGATCCCTACACAGTATAAATAACAACCCTCAATTTAAAAATTGTCTGTTTAAACTTTGATTAATTTTTAAATTAATTTTTTTAAGGAGTGCCAGAGACGACTTGGACACAAACTTCCCCTGGGAGCTTATCTACTGAAACCCGTTCAGAGAATCACCAAATATCAACTGTTACTCAAGGTAAACATGTTGACTCATCATTGTCCAGTAACTCTATGATCTCTACTATGGCATGTCTGTATGATGTGTGATCTGTATGCTCATTATGAAACAAATTTAAAAGGTACTGGAATTATCCAAAGTATCACTATGTTGGAAATAAACTTCTAAGTTGGAATTGTAAATTTTTTTTTCTGTCAGTTTTGCTCGTATGAGATTTACAGTGTTTATGATGATAATATTTACTGTAAAAGTGGTTATTTACACTGGTTGTTAAGTACGCGTTTGTGACTGTCAAACATTACGCGTGGGTATAATATACGCGGTCAGGAGTTAAGGAAAGTTTAATGTGTGCCATCGATTTCAGAACTAACATCAGGTTGTTCCCCTTTGAAAATGATTAGAAAAAAAAATAAAATAAAAACAAACAAACTAAACAAACCAATAAGAAATTATACTGTTTATACTGTTGGATTGGTAAATTGTCGATTTACCAATCGTCGATGTGTACAGTCTAATGCGGTTACATGTTACAAGTGTGAACAACTGGTGTAATTATTAACGCAAGCTCAAACTTCAAAGTGAAATCTATTTACCTGTATCTACGTGTCGAGATTTGACAATTAATATAATAGGCATGATTGTAGTGACTGTGAGATTATTTAACATTTTGGACTAATCATTTGAAATTAAGAAAGCTATATATGAATATACAAAGGAAATGAAAATGAGAATCGATGTTATGAAGCTTTAATTGCGTGATGTTGCTTAAAAATATTTAATGAAAATGCGTTTTCATCGCACAAGTAACAAAATAAACATTTACATTTTAATCACACTTTTTGATATATTTATCTATTCACGTCATGCGTTCAATACCATGATAAATATACGACTGGTTCAACCCGTCCAGCAGTATAAGTAATAATCTAGAATTTTCCAAAAGATTGAAATTTTGTGACCATTCGCGCGGAATTGTAAATTTATTTTTTTTCTGTCAGTTGTGCTCATATGAGATTTACAGTGTTTATGATGATAATATTTACAATGATATTTATTTACAGGAGATGTTACGGTTCAGTGACCACGACCAGACCTGTGAGGCCCACCTACAGGAGGCCCTGGATTGTATGTTGGAGGTCGTCCGCTACGTCAACGACAGCATGCACCAAGTGTCCATTGTAGGATTCCCTGTAAGTCTGGGACAATCATAAAATATCCATAATCTCAGAATTAAAGAGTTGGTGACTACAAACATTGAATGCTGGTGAAGAAAATTGTGATGTCATTATATAATACAGATGCCATATTTATTTTTACAGGGTAATCTTTCTGAACAAGGAAAGCTGATCATGCAGGGAAGTTTTCAGATGTCGACGGAACACAAGGGTAAAATTAAAGACCTGAGATTTAAACCAATGCAGCGACACATGTTCCTTCACCAGAAGTCGATTCTCCTATGTAAACAAAAGGAAGACACAAACAGCAGTGACAAGGTCGTCTACAGCTTCAAAAACCTCCTCAAGGTCAGGTCAAAGTTCATGTCATCATTATGTCAGTTTAAAAAAATTCTGTCGAGATATCAGATTTAAAATATTAGCATCCTTTCTGTGACAAACAGATCTTTAGTAACAAGACATTTGCGAACAAAATTGTGTTCTCAAAAACTTCAAATCACTCATTGGAAATCTGCCCCTTTGAATTAAAATAATTCTACAATAATGTTTATTCCTTTATTGTTCTACAGTTATCTCAGGTTGGATTGACAGAGAATGTAAAGGGAGATAAGCGGAAGTTTGAGTTATGGCTTCGTGGGAGAGAGGAGGTCTATATCATTCAGGTAGGGATATTTGTTTCCATTGAGAACTCATACACAGTATAGGAACTGTTTTACAAGTTATCAGCTGTCCTATACATGGTTTAACTGAAGACATTAAACTGGATTTCCCTTTGGTTATAGGCTCCCAGTTTGGCTGTGAAAGAAATGTGGGTCAAAGAAATCAAAAGAGTGTTAATGAACCAGTTTGATGAAATCAAAGGTAAGGCATGACAAGATTTACAAACTCGGTCCACTTCTACTGAGTGCTTAAAGACTTTTCTTCTGATGTTACACACAATGTAAATGATTTAATAGTTCTCTAAGTCTGGATTCTCTTTATTGTAGCTGTGAATCACATGCATAATACTAGTAATAATTACCGAGTCCCTGATCAGGAACCAACCAATGGACACAGTTCTCGCAGGTAAGGACTTCAAAATATTACTTGTGAATAGGACTTAACTATTCAAATGCCAAAATATTGATACAGTATAATGATCTTGGTGATTTGATTGTAAGTTTTGCTTTACACTCTTTTTTAAAAAACATCTATCTCTTTCTTCAGATATGTAGATAATTGGAGGACCCACAACCACATGATATTTAACAACATTTCCACTGTACCCCAGGGGCTGGAAATGATGTCTCCTGAGTCCCCACCCCGGGGCACAAAGGAGGAGGAGGGTGGGTGGGATACTGATGATTTTTCTGATGGAGAGGAGGCAACGTCTCATCAAACCTACTCACCACCTGTACAAAAACAGGTAAACACACAAAAAGGGAAAATTTATTCATACCTGTAGGCATAAAAAAAGATGTGTTTGATCTATATATACCTGTACAAAAAACAAGCAAAATATGATGCACACATGTACAGAAACAGGTGAAGGTGTTACAAACCTGTAAAAAAAAAAAACAACAGGTAAAACATTACACCTGTGCATATACAGAGCATTCTGTCTAATCTGACATGTGAAATCAGTTTCACTGTGAACTCAGACCTATTTTACTACTTTCTATGTTCTTTGCACTGTGCAATGTAACACCTGTCTATTCCAACACAAAAGTTCTCGCGCAATGCATGTTGTATTAGACAGGCTTCACTACAAGTAAAACATGATTTATGTGAACATAAACATCTAAGACATACAGTAAATTCTCGAATTATCGCCATTCGATTCATCGCCATTTTCGCAATACCGCCATGATTTCCCAAGAACGTTTTTCCTGCTATATAAAATTCTCTTTATAACGCCAAATTCGCATACCGCCATCCGCCACCCTGTTTTCAAAACAAACGTCCATTTTTAAGTGTCAATTATCTCGATATACCGCCACAGATTCAAACGGTCAGTGAAGCGCGGCTAATTAGTTGACGCTATCCCTGTTTTAAAGCATGCAAAGGCAGACAAGGTACATGCAATTTAGTAATTAAACAAGAATAAAATAAATAATAATTTTAACATGAACTGTTATAATAATTTTGTTTTTTGTATAAAAATCATTTAGTCACGGCTTCGCCAGGAAAGCGGTCGTTGTTATAGTGCGCGGATAACGATATTATTTTGATGATGTCTGCTTTAATTAATGCAAAGTTTGCTGAAAAAATAATTATGCGGCATGAATTGTGAACTTTTCATTAACAATGATGCCATAAACGATGAATTTATTCAAGAATTCATTTTACTTACTTTCGGCAATAAATCACGACGATCGACCCAGCTTGTTTTTTTTTCAATATCAGACGTGCAGATTTACATGATAATATTAAACACACATGACTTGTCTTTATTTCATTACTGCACATTTTGTTTTAGTGAAATTGTACATAAAAAAAATACTGGAAGTATTTTCAATCAAAAATATGTCTTTATACATGTACATTTTATTATAAGAATAGAAACGCTTAAATGGTATTTCTAAGAACAAGGTAACTTCACTTCTTGTTTTTTAAAAAGATGGGAAATTCGATTCATCGCCAAATTCGTTATACCGCCATGATTTCTAAATTAAAAAGGTGGCGGTTTATCGAGAATTAACTGTATACATATATTTATAGAAACAGGTATTAAATATATACATGTATTTACTCTACAGAAATAGATAATACACAGTGTATACTTTATGCAAGAAACTTTTACTTTTCACTCTCATTGCAAGTGGGCAAATTTAATAATAAGCTGCAAAAAAAATTTTTGCAAGCTTCACAGGGCGAAAATAACATAAAGCAAAAATGTTTTTTGAACTACACATACAAAAACAGGTAACTCATACATACAGATATTAAAGACAGAGGAGTATATTAAAGTATACATTCTCTTGAATTTTCAGCCAGTCTACATGCAGCATTTTCGTTCCCTTGGAAACTACACTGCCAGTGACCCTACAGAGTTGACCTTGTTGGAGGGCGATGTAGTCAAGGTCATCAAGACGGCCTCCACTGGGTGGTGGTTTGCCCAGCACACGATCACACAGCAAGAGGGATGGGTCCCCTCCACCTACATGGAACCACTCACCGACAACTCCCTCTCTAGTATCAGTGAGTTACCTCCCTTTTAGGGGAACAATTTCTTTTTTGCCCAGGATTGCATTTCTACATTTGCAACAATCATCCAAGATCTCTCTTGCAAAACTTCAGATTAATTTTCTTATTATAAGATACAGTTGAACTTAGTTTTCTTAAATACTAGGGATTTATCGGGCAGTCCAAACAAGTGTATGTTTTTAACCTCGCTATCTCAAAACTTCTCAAGGTTTAATCTCAGTCCCATTGAGTGTGGGTTAACAAGGTTTGACTGTAATTGCATGCACAGCATTGAATAGAAATAATACCAATGTCTTCTTTTTCTCCAGATTCCAGTCCTCACGACTATAAATCCAGCTTAACCAGTGTGTATACCGCTAGCCCTGTGGACGAATCGACTGTATAGCCAGAGTTATTCCCCTTTACATTATTGAAAATTGCTGTGAAATCCTCCTCAGCTTCTAAATCTTGGAAACTTCTGACATCGTTATCTGGTGATGAAAAAGACTTCAGTTGGATTTATTTATAATTTAAATCTACCTGAAGGGCAGTAAACACAATCCCCACACCTATGAGTGATTTTAACCACGTGAAAAAATTGAAATAAATTTAAATGACAGACTGAAAGCCATAAAATTTGTATTCTTTGGAGATGTGGTGTAAAGTAATGAAGGTAATCTGATAGACTTACCTGAAGAACTCGTAAGTGACAAAGTCTTATTATGTGATTCAAAAGCAGGTGTTCGTGGCCTTGGGATCCAAGCTTTGTTGAAATGACATTGAAATTTCATTCTTATGAGTTGAAGGTCAAAGAATGAGAGCGACATAATGGGGTCAACTTCCCAAAGTACAGAACACGGAGACCAAATTGTCAGTTCCACTGGAGGCTATGTTACTATAGGACCTCCTGTCTTTCTAGTCGTACTTTTGTTTTTGTTTGCAATAATCTCATGCCTTGTTTCATGTTTACATTCCACGTATTAACTACGCTCTAGATGTTTTACAACATTCCGGAATGCATTTATTTATAGAATTTTACCAAATGTATTCACAGTTTTTATTTAACCTCAGATGTTCATTTTATATTGTTCACTGTTAATGCTTTTATAAAATTGTAGATGGCAAACAATTTTGTTAATTGGTTCATGTTCTTTAAGCACCCCGGATATGAAAAATAAACTGAGAAGAAATACATGTAGGAATATTAAAATCATTGTTCCAAGATACCATTTTGAAAAACTTTTATATTTTGTATGCATTCCAACTCATATTTTCAATCAAATACATGTATATTTTAAATTCAGTGATGCATATAGGACTTGTATCAATAGCTTCATCCTGTGTTAACAAGCTACTGTATGTCACTATGCATCTTTCTCTCTGCTGTTTTCTGTGATAACTACAAGACCAAGTGCTGGTTGTAGCCCATGTAGAATGTACTGTACAAGGGAAAACCTGACTTTTACAAAGATAAGGATGAACAGCCAAAGAATTTGGTTGAACAGTATTTAAATAAAAAGCAGACAGTGCCATGCATCTTAAATGAAAGGTTGTTAGTAAAATTTTTGTGATCTTGAAATTTATTAAATTTATTTTTACAGGCACCTGTTCTTGTTTTTTACTGGCTGAAATTTTTTGTTGTAAAAATTGGTTGCTGCAGCTCTGTTTATATAATATTATATATTGTTGCTATGAGATAGTTTCACATTTTATTACCATTTATCCTGTTAAAAATTGTACAAGTTACAAATAAATGTTAAGATTTTGGAGTAAAAACTTTATTAGACATTAAATGGCTGTGACTATTTTTTAAACTTAATAGTGACATTTAAAATAGAATTGTGTCTTCTTACTGTTTGCTTGAATTTCATGCATTCCAGCAATTACTATTTTACCAAAATATTATGTATATGTATGTAGACCATGTTATTTATTACATTGTTCCTGTTTTAATGATATATATATATAGTTTATACATGTATATGTCAGTTGTTATGGAGGTTTCCTTATTTCTGAAATTTACAAGAATAAAATTTAAACAGTTGTCTCAACTTTTGTCTGTGTTGAATTTTTTTTTTTGAGACACTTAACAGTATTTATGAGATGATCATTTTATTGCATCCCTATATATACAGTGGCCCAGAATTTATGATCTTAAATTCATTTAAGGTCCATTGTAAACATTGTTAAGCACAAGATAAGATTGTATTATCCTGTGTATTCCAGCATTATGACTTGGATGTAACAGACATATTATCCAATGTGTTCACAGATCTTATTTGCTCATGGGTCAGCCGGTAAACTTTCAGAATTGTATAAGGGCACACTGTGGATTGAACACACAGATGACATGGGTCATTTCTGATGTACTCCTCCAACAGTTTTTGGTCTGATTTCAATATAACTTAGTACATGATACAAATTTTGTTTATCAGTTTTTGATTTCGATGAACAGTGTTGCCACGGTTACTAAATATAGAAATTTCTTTGAAATACTCTCCCTACAGTTTTGGTCTGATTTCAATATAACTTGGCACACAAGTAGAGTACATGTACATTGAGATGCAAATTTCTATGTATCGGTATCTGATTTTGATGAATGGTGTTGCCATGGTTTCTAAAAATAGAAATTTCTTTGAAACATTTTCAAAATGCTACCAGGTACTTTCTCTACAGTTTTGGTCCGATTTCAATAAATCTTTCCAAGAAAATAACTAAACCAATGATATACCCTACGTATTTCTAATTTTTTGCAGTTGCAAAGTTTCAAATTCAAATGCTACTTCATCCTTGCAAGCCAAGGGTCCTGAGTCAACATGTTGCCGTTAGACCCTTGGCGTATTTCATTCAATATCTGTGGGCTTGCTTTTTTCATTGAGAAGCACCAATCAAACTAAACCTTTCAAAAATAGTTAGATAAGGATTCAGCTGACACCTCAAATGCTTGTGTTACAAGTTGTTTACTGATAAAAATTAATATTTCAATTACTGGTAACAATGTTTGTGAAATTCAATCGAGATCGGGATATCATAAAAAATATTTCACCATATACTTTGTTACGTTTTTCTGGTGAAAACTTCCCTAAAATAATGTTCTAATTGATGTTATGTATAAAATATGATTTATTTAGTAAATATAAACCCAATTATGCATAAAATGTATTAAAATTCACCATATAAACCTCAAGTTCTCTAGGGTTCAATTTTTCACCTTCTTTCATTTTTTTTTCATTACTGAAGTGGTGTAGATAATTTAAGCTGTCTTGAGGAGGTCTGTACACTAAGTGATGTCCTCAAGTACATTCTCCTTAAAGTGCCAGACAACTCAGTCAACAGAACTCATAAAATCAGATAACTTCTTTCACTTATTTTATTGTTCAGGATAACAATGGACAATTATTAGTGAGATCTAACAATAAATTATTCACTTAATTGCACAATAAATATTGTTCAATACTATATCTCTCTCTCAAACAAAAAGACCACAAAATAATGTTCATTACCAAAAAGATTTATAATCTAGGCATAGGAATACTGTTGAGTTTAACATCATTAATAAAGTGTATTTAACATAATTACCAGTGGCCATTTACTCAAACTCTGTTTTGTAGAACTTTACTGACAGTCATTAAATGGCAATTCATGTGGTACAGAACTGTCATAAACAAATTTTAACAGGGAGTGAAAAATGTGATGGATCAAACCTGGATTTGAACCCTGGTCCCTGAACTTTACATGGGTAAACAAATCTGCCTAACTGCAGTGTAATGATTATGTTATGTCAGTGTAATGTCAGTGTGATGTCAGAGTAATGTCTGTGTGATGTCAGTGTTATGTCAGTGTAATGTCTGTCTTATATCAGTGTTATGTCAGAGTATTGTCTGTGTTATGTCAGTGTTATATCAGTGTAATGTATGTTATGTCTGTGTAATATCAGTGTAATATCAGTGTAATGTCAGTGTAATGCCAGTGTAATGTTAGTGTTATGTCAGTGTTATGTCAGTGTTATGTCAGTGTAATGTTAGTGTGTCAGTGTTATGTCAGTGTAATGTCAGTGTAATGTCAGTGTTATGTCAGTGTAATGTCTGTCTTATGTCAGTGTTATATCAGTGTTATGTCAGCCTAGTGTCAGAGTTATGCCTGTGTAATGTCAGTGTTATATCAGTGTTATGTCAGTGTAATGTTAGTGTTATGTCAGTGTTATATCAGTGTTATGTCAGTGTTATATCAGTGTTATATCAGTGTAATGTTAGTGTAATGTCAGTGTAATGTTAGTGTAATGTCAGTGTTATATCACTGTTATATCAGTGTAATGCCAGTGTAATGTTAGTGTTATGTCAGTGTTATGTTAGTGTTATGTCAGTGTTATATCAGTGTTATGTCAGTGTTATATCAGTGTAATGTTAGTGTAATGTCAGTGTTATATCACTGTTATTATAGGATTAAACGTTCTTTTTGAAAAATTTATCGATGTGTAAACTCTTGACATTTTACTCACAAACTAAATAAAAGTGCGAAGCACTGACATAACACTAACATTATAATTCTTATAATTCCAATATCGAATTTTTAAAAATATTTAAATTATTTCTCTTTGAGGCCTCCATACAATCCATTATTTCTGGAGGCGTAGGAATACATTTTACCGTAAAGGAACGTAATCAAGATGAATTTCGATAGAGTTCAACTTAAATTGTCAAAACAATCGATAAATAAACTTATAACAACTAATCGAATGTTGTTTAAGTCAACAAATATCGTAATTACGAGTTTACTTCAGAATAGTTCGTCTTTGACCATGGCCATGTTGACATAAACAACAACTCTCATAGCGAAAGTTGCAGACCGACGACACCTTCAATTTGCACTTGTTTATTCAAATATTGAAGAACAATATAGAAAGTAAATATGAATTTGATGCTAATAGGGCAAGAGTTTGAGGTACGTTTCTTTTCCCTGTCAAAACGATACAGACTGAGCTTATTTTCTACGTATGAACGTTGAGACAGCGATTTTTAAAATTCACACTCGTGATCGGAGAGTGACATAATTTTCACGGCGTCCATCACTTAGGCAGTCTAGTATGTTGCCAGTTTTGTTTAAGCCCTAGGCCCTAATTAAATTTAAAGTTTCTTGTATTCATTATTTAGCCAGAACAGACTCAGAAATAACTGCTTTCATTGTTTATACGATAACCTAGTAGTATCATCAAGAAAGTAGTTCTGATTGAAAGAATTTATCGATGTGTAAAAATTTTCTGGAACGTGTTCTCGTCCAATCAAAACACAGGAAATCAATAGATAAAATGAAGATTGGAATTATATCAGTGTAATGCCAGTGTAATGTTAGTGTTATGTCAGTGTTATGTTAGTGTTATGTCAGTGTTATGTCAGTGTTATATCAGTGTTATGTCAGTGTCATGTCAGCCTAGTGTCAGAGTTATGCCTGTGTAATGTCAGTGTTATATCAGTGTTATGTCAGTGTTATATCAGTGTTATGTCAGTGTAATGTTAGTGTTATGTCAGTGTTATGTCAGTGTTATGTCAGTGTAATGTCTGTCTTATGTCAGTGTTATATCAGTGTTATGTCAGTGTCATGTCAGCCTAGTGTCAGAGTTATGCCTGTGTAATGTCAGTGTTATATCAGTGTAAAATTAGTGTAACAATGCCATGTGGTGGTCAACTACCTCTAGTCACAAATATTCAACCCAGGGAAGAGAAATTTTGACAATCAGACAGGTATGTTTGTCAGTGGCCAGATAGTCCAATTGGTAGAGCACCTGACAAGTAATTAATGTCAGGTTCAAATCCATGACTGCTCTGTCAAATTTCTCTCCTCATTAGTTAAAACCTTCCTGATCAACTTAAATCTGTACAAAAATATAAATATGTCATGTACAGTGTATAGCAAAGTGAGATTCCAGATGTTTTACATGATTTTTTAAAATGTCAATATTAATTTCTTGTGAAATATAAGGAATCTACAGTGATAGTGTATTTTTATCAAAATTTGATTAACAGGACTCGAGGTCACTTTAATTTGACTGACAAACTAAGGATATAACAAAGTTTCCAGTATGTCAGTTGAATTCAAGCAATCAGAATGGCTGTTATTTAAATAACTAGTAAAGTAGGGGTCCCAGGTTAAATCCCTGGTCCAGCTATGAAACCTTTTTTTTTTATTTCCCATTACAACATAAATCTTCTGTTGTAATTTGCTGAAAAGAAGTAATCAAATATCATGATAAATTTTCAACTAACATTACTTTAAGTAGACAACCGGGAAATGCACACATACAGTTCTACTGTGAAATCACTCATTTTTGTGGGTGTTAAATTTGCATTGTTTTTTTTTTTGTCTGCCACAAAATGCTTTGAAAAACTTCAAATCAAGATAACACAACCCTTAGAAAACTGCTACTGCTAATCAAATTATCTAAATCATGATATTTTTTCCCCTGAAACTATGAAAATTTGACCCCAAGAAAATAAGTGAATTTACAGAATTCCATATTTCAGTGACAACAATGTGATGTCTGTATATACAGTTGAACCTCACTATCCTGAACACAGATATCTTGAATACCATGGATATGTCAAATTGATTTGGAAGTCGCCACTTATCCATTAAGTACTAGTAATTTACCCTTGATAGCTCAAAACCTCCCATATACTGAAGTTTTTTCTTGATCCAATTGAGTTCAAGATAAGGCCAAGCTTAAAAAATTCTTTGTTTGCAGTTGCCGACCTATAATTTTTAGACTGGGTAGGTAGGTAGGCATTTTTTTTTTTTTTGAAAAAAAAAAATGGTTTCAAATTTTCGTTAGATAACAAATGATAGAGCTTCTCATAGGCTTACTAAACACAAATCAGCTCCACTTGTAATAAAGCACTGATTGATAAAAAGAAAGGTAAAAAATTTAAAATAAAACAGCTCAATATACCGTGAAAAATAAAAAAAAAAATAATATTACAAAATGGCTAAAAAAAAGTTTGGGTCGGGTGCATTTTCAGTGGGTCGGTCGGCAACTGCAAACAAACAATATTTTATTTTAGGCCTAACGAGATTTAATTGTATATTATAAAACTACCAACAATTTGATGTAAACATAAATATCTATTATATGCATAAACTGTCAACATTTTCTGTATCTCAAAATAGTTAAAACATACTATAAAAAGATATTGTATGTGGAAGTATATAATTGAATGATCAACTTTTAACTCACTTCAAATCTGTACATCTAAAAATTATAAATACCAATCATAGATAAAAATATACATTGATACAATGTGAGTTGATTGTAAAATTTATGAAAAATGTCCACACTTCTAAATATATTAAGCCAAGCATAAATCATAAAAATCTTTTAAAATTTTCCCTCTACCATAAAGCAGTGGCTCCAATAAAAATTAAGAAAGCAGCATCAGTTATTGGTCCTAGATTATGATAAGCATGGTGCATAATTTTGGTTCACACTTCCTTGTAGCACACATATTACAAACCATATTATGCTTTGTTTTTTCTCTTTTAAAACTCAAAATAAAAGCTATCTCTTTCTCCCTCTCTCTGAGTCTCTCTCTCACTTGCTCATTTAATCTCAATACTGTCAGATCATTTGAAATCACCAGGTAGCCTGAAGGGGTTATTCTACAACATACAATTATAACAAAATGAATAACATCCCAGTATTTTTTCTTTGGTTACATCTATAAAATCAGAGGTTTAGAAAACAAAACTTAAAACTACTGCATGAAAGAAAAATGTGCTTATATACAAGTAGAGGAAATCAGTCCAAAAAATCATTATAAATATTGTCATTCTGCTCTGTACTCAGAAAAGTAAAAATTTTAAATATTGTAATATACTTTAACATGTAAAATGCAGAAAAATAATCTTTTCTGATATTCCAGTAAATGCCCATTGCTATAACCTTGACCTCAATGACCAAGCACCCCCATATATGATCTCATTCTTTAACCTTGACCTTTGATACAGTGACCTTAAAATCAATAAATCTTTTCATTAACCTACTCCTGCCTGTGTAAGGAAATCACATGATTTAAGAAAAATCATTTTTTAAAGTTTTCAACATTGAAAGACATTTCAATTACTGGCAATTTCTTCTATGACCACAGATTACAATACTGTAGATCACTAAATTTTCGCGACACCTTATTTTTGCGAGATAGCCATTGGCTCTTGATAAGCGAGACAAAATTTTCACGAATTGTGGTTCTTGATCTATATTATCCTAAGGAATACTATTATATGCGAGAATTAAATTTTTGCGAGCACACTGTCTCGCGTAATTACGCGAAAATAAAGTTCTCGCGAATAAAAAGTGATTTACAGTACCCCTAGTCTATAAAAGCATTCCTTTAATCAAAATGGTTCATCACAAATACTGGGATATTCATCTTAGACATTCATCTACAAGTTTTCTAAAAGCTATTCCCTACATTAAAAACAAAACCTTCCTCAAACCTAGTAACACAATGTAACTGACATACTAGTATTATACATAAAAGAATTTGTTGACAAGTTGTATTCACATTCAAAATTGAATTTACAATCTTGTCGTGATAAAATTATGATTTCATAATAACAAAATTTTGGCTGTGTTGGCAAGCTCACAGTGTTAGCATCAGTGTTCTGATCAAGTTAAGGATACATAACACAAACAAATCATGACGCCTGAAATATACTTTTAAACTGATTTTGAATTTAAATTACCTAAACAATACATTTCTAAATTACTGGATTCTGCAAATATTAAATAATCAAGCCATCTATATAATCTATGAACATAAATGTACAAGATACATTTTTGGCTGATTTCTAAAATAAAAGTTTGTTTGTGTTATTTATCATTGAACAGACCATAGCTTATTAAATTATGTCATGGCACAAAAATATTAATGGATAGTGCTTGAAATACATATTCATATATACTTCTCATGAAATGGATGAAAATGACCCCCATTATTCTGGGAAGATAGAAGTATCATTGAATGACTCCTTCATGGCCTTGACCCGCTGCAGGAACAGGTCCTTAGCGTACTGATAAAGCGCGATGTCCAGGGTGTTCAACTCCAGAATCTTCTTCCACTGCTCAACACTCGGGTGAGTTTTCATACTGTGTGTCACATTATACTGATTAAAATCTTTGATAAATTGTATATGAAAGACATGCTCAAATAACTTCTGAGTTTCCAGCTGGAACTCTGTTAATCCGAAGAAAGACAGATCCCGCAGGTTTTCTTTGGCACTTTCTAGCATTAGTGTGTTGCGTTCCTCTTCGGTCATCCCTGTCTTGTTGTAACAGTTAACCTTGCTGAGATTGGCCAACATTCGCGTCTGTCTATTGTTGGCCAGGTTGTGTGGACAATTGATGAATTCCTTCAGCGTCACGTCTTCCCACGTCTCCGTCTCAAAACAAAACGGCACTTCCTTCAGCGTGGCCTGACGTCCATTACACTGGAGTCGAGCCGTTTTCCATGTAGCACCACGACGGACGTGTTTCCACTCGCTCAGGTATCGACTGACAGGATCGCGAAGTATCGTCACATAATGATACCTGAAATTAAAATTGTAAAAATAAAAAGACAGAGTAATAATAATTTCAAATTCAAATGAATTTCATGCTTCATTTCAATCAAAATATACTTGTTAATTATAGTGAGTTTAACTCTATAGATGTATTTCTGTAAATTTATGTAAGAATTAGAAGCTTGAATATGTCAGACATGAATGCCCTCGCTAAAAATCAAGTTTTAAAAATTTTGAAAGTCCAAGGAGGATTTCTTTTTATGAAATAGATGTCAGTACAACATAATCAAGCTGCATTCTACAAACATGTTTTCTAAACTAGATGAGTCTGTGTGACACAAAATTCCCCCACTGACATGTGTTTTAGATATGTATATGTGAAAGTTTGAGAGTGTGAAAATAACAGCATGAACAATATTAGGTGAAATGGCACAAAAAATATCATACTGATAAATCTAATTAGTCATCAATATACAGAGACAACCAAAATCATGAACCATAAGCACAGCAAAAACAAGAGGCCAATGGACCACAGTGCTTGCTGTGTTACTTAAGGGTCCTTTTCTTCCATACTCCTATTTATGAAAACTTTGTTCACATACTCATAGTGTGACCTCCTGCTCAAGTGGTGATGATTTAAATATAAAAATGAATCTACATAACCTGAGGATCAATATAAATATAAATAACCATAGCTTTGCTGTTTGTGAGCAAAAGATTTTTTAAAAAATTCCTACTAGTATATATTATTCCTGAGTAAAACTTTGATTGCCCATTGCTTTGTGGTAAGTTTGGTTAAAATTATCCAAATGGTTATGGAGAAGATTGAAGTAAAAATTGTAAAAGTTAACAGTCACATAGATGGTGCATGGATGATATGTATGGATGGAAGATTAATAAATTTTGATCAGAACAGCTCACTCAAGCCTTCAGTTCAGGTAAGCTAAAAGTCGTCAGGAAAACAGTGAATCATTACAAATGTTCCAAGTCTCAACACGCTCAAGGCCATGACTTTTGTAAAAGTTGGTCAATGACAGTCATCCAGAAACTTCATGTGAAATAGTCAGTAAGATGTGTTCACACTTCATAATAACTCTTACTTATGTAACAAAAAAAAAATATATAAGATAATTGTATCAGATACTTGGTCTAATTCACCTCAGGTCTGAGAGTCTACATCCTACTCCTGCTTATCAGATGGCAATTAAATGAGACAAAATAAAACTCAGTCATCTCCCTAAATCAAATGCATAATAAATAATGTTTCAACTTAAGTTGTGCCAAAAGCACTAGAGTTCATCCCCAGTGCACTTCTCTTAATGTTCAGTTTACAAAGAGATGCATAATCTGCTGTGAACTTTTTCCCTTCATGTGATCTAACCACAATTTCATGCTCTCTGAGTCAATGAGTCAAGAGAGACTAACTTCCTGTGTAAAAAGTTATATATTATACATCACCTTATATTGGGACTATTTACTATTCAAAGTTTACTTTACAAAATTATTGCCAAAAATTTAAGCTGCAACAGCTCTTACTATAGGCCCAGTAAAAGAAAATCGGAGCAACAGTATTATATAATTTAAATATTAACAGTCACTTGTTCTTCTATGAATAACCCCTTTTCCCCTTTTTCAAACAGAAAGAAAAAAATGGTTCTTTTATCCCTTACAATAAATACACAATTAAATATGTTGCTGAAGAAAAATTATCATCTTTTTAAAGGAAGACTAACATTTAAATTTTGCTATTATGAATTCACTTTTTTTTTTTCAAATATGCTCAACATATAAAATGTTCCCGCATACATGTACAGTTAATTAAAACAATAGAGAGCAAATCAATTATCAATATGGTGTGAAATTTTCCTGTACACAAAATAGTTTATTATAAAAATTTACAGACAGACTCTATAAATTAAAACTGAAGTCTGCCATCTTCTAGAAGTTGCACTTTGGCCATATATACTAGCAACAGAAATATCTATCTTAAAATCATGTTTTTTGCTCCAATGAAGATTTCGAAAATTTCTAGAAATGTACACAGTTGTACTGCATGAAAAATCTGAACTAACAGAAATGCAGATTAGTATACATGTGTTTGGACAAGTTGAAAATCAATGATTTATTTTTGATTTACAATGTTGGTATTCTTTGAAAAATTTTATTAGAGAAGTCTTCAATCAATGTTTTCATTGCTAGAAAAGTATTGTATGATAAAATCATAAATGTTGGTGATTAAAAACTTTGAATATCAGAAATAAATAGTATTAAAAAAGCCAGAAAAGAAAAGCTGAATATCTTTTTTAAATTCTGAATATGCAGCCTCTTTACATGGGTCATAGCCTAGGGCCATGCATGAAAAATCAAAATTTGTGATACTAAGTCTTTAACTAAAGCTGTCCATCTAAAGTCTAAAGACTTCACATAAGTAAAAAAAAAAAATTCTCTCATTCTAAACATCAAACAATTCATGAATAACTCTTTGAGGGGTTCATATACGCAGGGTCAAGCAAAAATCTTATTTTACTATTAAGGGAACATCTCCTAGCTGTAACTAGTTTTTCACTGTTTTTGTCTCCCATGAACTTCCAATATCTCCTTTAAATTCAGTATTTTCTCTTCACCCTTTACCTGAATAAGTGGAATACATAAACCTTTAAACATCAAAATAATATAATGCCATATATACGGAACATCTGACTTACATACCTGTAGATCTTATCATGTTTACAAAGGTATCTAAACCCTAGGATATAACTTAATTACTACAGATGTTAATGAACTATTTACTCAAGTAACATATGTGAAACCTGTATTTTCTTGGTACCTTCTTTTCCTGTGCATGTTTTCCTTTTTGTCCATCTGTTCCTCCACACAGCTCTTCAGTTCCGTCCAGTCAGCGTGAAGTCCACACACCCACCCAGTGGAGTACCGACTGAATAACCATAAGGTTTTCTTACTAGTGGAGCAGTCACATCGCTTTACCCCCTTCACACACTTACACGGTTTATCTAGGTCGAGATTTTTTACCAGGTGTCTACCGAATGTTGTTCCACCTGTCTTCTGGATATGTAGAAACACTATGACATCCTCATCTTCTAGATCAAGTGTGTATTCACGATTAAGTACATAATCTGCAAACTTGTTGGGTATTATTTCTCCATTTTTGTACGTTTGTACGTATTTTATCAGGCTGTTCGACCCATTGCCATTCGAATGATATGTTCTGCCTGTATATAAAACACAAAGGAACGTGGTGATAAAGACAGAGGCTGCCACAAAAACAAACCACTTCCTGTGACACTTCGACATTGCTGGCTCATTCTTCTAGGTCATTTTTAACTTAATGTTCCAAAAAGTAAATAAAAACAAGATACTTTAGATAGTGAATCTGAATGAAATTATTACAAGAAAAACCGGAAATGACAATTAAACTGGCTAAGTCGTGCCAATATGAGTCGCTCGTTTGCAGCCCACATAGAAAAGGTCTTCCGTATGTCCGTCTGTCTGTCTAGCAGCCCGTCCGTCTACCTATAAAGCTTTCGTTATCATGCGATATCTCGGGAAAACTTTCAGCTTTTGCTAGTAAATTTTACATAACTCTTTATGGTCTAAGGATAGTTTTTTTTTTTTTTTTTTGGGGGGGGGGGGTGTCCAGAAAACAACAGATAAAAAAAAGGGGGCTACATTGTTGCAGCTAGTCTAAGTAAGGAGAAGGCAATGAATTTATAAGAGTCTTTTTAGATACAGTTTTTGATTTTTTTCCCCCTCCAATTAAGTTTCAGATCCTTAATTATACACATATAAAGAGAGCTATTCAACTTCATCAACATTTTTTTTTTACTTTTAACCTCAATTTTTAACTACAGGAAACCGGCACCATTTTCAATGCAAGCTTTTGTATCTATATGGTATTTGGTGATCGAGAACTGATTTGTTACCTTTCAAAACCTTGCCAATGATCGTTGACTTGAAGCTTGGTATTGAATAAGCTGTTCGGGTATTTTCATCAAACTTTATAGGCCTACACAATTAGCTAATTTCCATTTCTCATTATTAATGAAGCTTGAACGTCATGGGTATACATATTATTTTTTTTATTTGTAGAGGGGGTATAAAGATATTACTCCAATCAATCATATAACGGCTCATTGGTAGAATTTTCAGAGGCTTTTGGTTGAAGTCACATTTCATGTTGATATTAAAAAGATAAAAAGAGGTTGGGATTCCTTATTGGCAATATCTGTTCAGTTTTTGCTGAAATCTGTTTAAATTCCGATGTGCATAGACTGTGCTTTTGAAAGTTTTTTTTCTGTATGCAAATTATTTTCAAAGTCTGCTACGTGTCTCTCACAAGAAAAAAAAACACTTCAAGGCTTTCAGATGATAACTTACACCATTTAACTATAATTTTTATTTAAAATTAATTCGCTATACTTAAATTAGCAATCTAGCTATATAGTTGTAGAGGATCGATTTTTTTTAAAATTTAGATTGACGTACGTGCTATTTGCATGTGTCACTAAATATAGTAAAACTTGATATCTCGAACTCGATTGGACCGTGAAAAAACTTCGAGAATTTCGAGTGTTCGAGATACAAAAGGCGAAATGCTCCAAGAAAAGGTGATTGGAACACAAATTATCGTCAATCGGTGCTTTAAGTTATGCCATTCGAGATATCCCTATTTGAGGCAGTTCGATGCATTAGAAATAGAAGAATAAAGTTAAAAGCGGAAAAAGCAAAACCAAATAATTAATTCCCCAATAATGGGGATTCTGCACCGTTTATACCGCTTGATGACGTTGAACATGTTGTCTGCAGAAAGCACTACCCAAAAGTCTCTGGCTTTAGATGCCATCAAGAATAACAGAGTGTATCTTCTCCCGGGGGCACAAACATTTGTAGTAGAAGGAAGCAAAGGAGACAAGTATGCTGTTACACTTCATCCTCAGGAAAAATGTCAGTGCCCAAGCCTCGGAAGCTGTTATCACATTCTAGCGGCAAAGTTGAGTGTTGGCATTGAAGAACTTGAAGAAAAAAAGATCTACAACTTAACTCAACTAAGAAAAAACAACAGAAAGAAGCCCAACAAAAAAGCGGGGAAAAAAGTGCCAAGGCCATGTGATGTTGAAGAAGTAATTGCTGCCCCTGACTCTGTTCAAAAAACAGGAGCGTTTACGCCATCACAGAGACAAGTTCCCATTGAAATGGCAAGGGAAATGTCGGATATTGCAGAAGAAGGGGAAATGTTAGGGGAAGATGTAACACCATCTCCAGTGTTTGGTTCTAGGAAAAGAAAATCTGTCCAAACCACGGTGAAGAGTGTAAAAAGGTTAAAATTCGAGGACATGTCTACAACTCCACAGTCAAATCCATCAGAAAAAGCAAAGGAGAGTCCTAACTGGGTTTCAAATGACAATTTTACTTTGAAGATCTGCCACAAAAACATCATTGAAAATGGAGAAACTCTAGATTGCGACATCATAAATTACTGTCAGAAACTGCTTCGAAACCAACATCCAGAAATCGGAGGACTGCAGGACACTAGATATGCTCCAATTAGAGAAAATGGCAGATGGAAATATGCATTGCCTTTCAAGACATTAGGTGGGGAAACAGCTGCACAGGTTCACCATACAGGGCAAGATCATTGGGTTGTCTCTATCAAATTAAGAGAAAACAACATTAATCTGTATGACAGTTGCACAGGGAAGAAACCAACACTGACAGATTCATTAAAAATCCAGCTCTCGAAAATTTACAGGAACTCGCAGCAGACAAAGATAAATGTAAATGTTCCAAGGGTACAACAGCAAAACAATGGTGTAGGCTGTGGTGTTTTTGCTCTGGCATTCCTTACGGAGTTTGCAACAAACAAAGTGGACCCCAAAGATATTCATTTTGACATTGCAGCTATGAGAGGTCACTTGTTGAACTGCATCAGTCATCAAACTATGACTCCATTTCCAAGGAAGAGAGCAATTGTTCCACCAAGAAGGTTAAGTCTTTCAAAGACTACAAGTATATCATTTGCAGTGAATTGTGCATCTGATTGCAGTTTACCAGATGTCTTTGATGACATGTTATCATGCGATACATGTGGGAAATGGTTTCACCAGCAATGTGCCGGAATCCAGCTGGAGGACTCTCGCAGTTTTGAATGGGTTTGTGGAGTTTGTACAAATTGAAAAAAAACTGATGTAACTAAGAGTATAGATCAAGAAAGAAGCTTATAATTTATTTGTATCAGGCTGTTTTCCCCCTCCGCTTGACGGTTGTTTGTGGGAAACTGCTAGGTATATGAAGAAAATAGTTTGTAGTCTTAATTTATATGTCTATGTAGTGCTTTTAAATAGTAGCTATTAGTTTAGTATTCTTTTCCATTTTTATATGCGCTTTTATTCAGTTAAATCACTCTCGCTTTATTCCCCCTCCGCTTGACGGTTGTGCCAGGGAATACTGCTAGATCATTCATAAATCTTAATTAAATGTATGTTTTTTTATTTATTGTATTTTGATAAATACACATGTAATAATAAAATAAAATATAAATGCATTTTGATTAGATTGAAACATAAACCATATTAAAAAGAAAAGATAAAAGTTTTCTGATGCAAAGCTTTTTATAAACTGTTATATCTCAGTTGTTTAACCATTATATAATAACTTTTTATAAACAAGCAAAAATTTAAAGTAAAGTCGAAATAAACCAAAAAAGTTCATTTACATTAAAAGAAGTAGAAAGAACCCCTCCCCCCAAAAAACCAAAAAAAAAAAAAAAAAAAAAAAAAAAAAAAAAAAAAAAAAAGAGGGCTCTGAGGTAGAACTACGTCCACGTCGTAGAGCCTGGGAACACATATAATACAATGTGGCAAAGAGTTCTACAAAGAAAAAGAGAAAGAAAATTATTTTTCTTCATATAAATTAACTGACATTAAATAAGATTTTTCTCTTATTACAGGAAAAAAAATAAATATATCTCAAAATGGTCTGTTTAATCGCGATTTACGAAAACATCGCTGTCCGTTTTTGGTTTTAACATTTATAACAGAGTACTAGATTTACCGCTTTTTGGCAGGTGATATTGCTGATTCAGTAATAAATACGCAAATTTGTTAGGGTTTTTACGTATTATTGAATTCATTTAAACCTAGAAATTATGCCTGAGAAGTTTGATGACTTTCTGTGCACCGATAAAGAAGAAATCGCCAAAAAACCAAAATCCGGGACCGTCGGGAGTCGGGCGTCGGGAGTCGGGAAGACTAGATATACCGCTTGCCATATTTGCATTGCTCTGTTTTAGTCTTTTGCCTTGATGATGGAATTGTTTTAGAATATTTTTAGAATTTGCTCCTTAAAAAAGCGTTGTAAGCAAAAACAACTGCAAAGAATCCTCGTTATGAGATGTCATGCATTCAAAAATCTCGACTTACTTATGTACGAATTAGCTAGTAATGTTCTGCCCATGACAACAAATTAGCGTCAAGATGGCGAAATTTTCTCAAGTTTGGTTAAACGAACATAAGGCCCTGGTTGACTACACTGACGTCGCAATTGCACCTTCCAAAGATTTCTATCATGTTTTTGTAACTCCAGAACAGGTGATTTATGCTCACTCCCCATGATTTATAATGCACACAACTGTTTTACGTATGCAAGATGCAACTTGAAAGTAAACAACGAACTTTTGAAGGTTAAGGTCAAATGCTCTTTGACGCAGTTTCTTTAATCACAATATTTTGACATTGTTCATTTTTAGCACACCTAAGTCACTCAGGTGGCATATTGCAATCTGTTTTCGCCCGCCGTGTGTCGATCATGATTAAACTTTTGAACATTTCAGCTTATTATTTCTTTCTGGATCTTCCGAACCAATTTCAGCAAAATTGACTTGAGTATATAGGGCATCTTTGGGTGGAGTGGAACAAAAAAATTGAATTTCATGCTCCCCTCCCTGGGGCCTAAGGGGTGGGGTCAAACACATTAAAATTAATGTATTTTTTTTAAGTCGACAGTCGACTGCTAGGCTACTCCTGGACATACTGCAGTCAAACTGTTGTCATAATGATAATATACATTGAGACTTTATCTTAATTGTAAAATTCATGGCCTCAGGGTCATGGATTCTGGACTTTAGGGAGGGCTCTTTGATTAAACAGGGTTACGTTGCTTATATTCATCATTTCATATATTCTTTAAAAAGTTTCTTCACCCTCTAAAAAGAAACTGATTGTATGGTTACAATGTATGATGAGCAATTGTGCCTCTTCTAAATGATTTGAATATCACGGCCCCTGGATCAGGAGTTCTGGTATAAGGGGAGAGGGGCTCTATTGATTATATGTGAAAATGCATCACTTCTTTGAAAATCTTTTTCCCCCAAAAATACATAACTTTGATTGTATAATTTACATTTCTTACTTCAGTTCATATTCCGAGTTTGGAAAATTGTGCCTCCCACAAGAGCAGACTCCCACATTCCTCCTTATGAATTTAAGAACACTTATGAAGAATTCAAACATGATGATAGATGTCATAGTAAGTTGGAAAATTATGCATTAAAATTAGATAATTTATTAGTTAAATTGTAAAAAAAAAAACAAAAAAAAAAAAACACAGTCTCACAAATGGAGGGAGCATGCCAGTGGCTAGACTGTAATGCCATGGAATGACTTTGAAGAACATGTTTAAAGAAAGAGACACACACAAAACTTCTATAACACACAAGGATAATTAAATACTCCAGATTTACTTATATTACAGAAATTGTAGCCTAGCATTTGGTATGAAACATCTGAGCACATGCATCTCTTTGGATGAACTGCTTAATTACATTCCATTAGAGAAATTGACTTTTTTTTTTTAAATATACATCCATATAATATTTTAAAGAATAGAAATTTTAACTAGTCTATGAAATAATCATAATTTTGAGAACATTAATATATATATATATTGCTAGTGCATTTAACTATAGAGAACATTTTGCCTGAAGAATACACTGTGTTGGACAATGTTAATTGATGCTGATAATGTTAATGATACTACAGTGTACTCACTGTACATGTACTTTCAATACCTAAATAATATTTTCAGGTGAAATAGTCAGATTAGCTGGGGAACCAGTATTAGACTATTTACTTGGTGTAAGGGATGGGAAATTGGACTACATTTGCCGTATTCCAAGGGAAGCACAAATCCGGATTATCCTAAACTTGGATCTGGAAGATATTCAGAGATTGGGAAGAACTTGTAAAATGTTCAGAGAGGTGAGTCAAACTTTAATGTATAATCACTGTAGAAGTATACATTTTATTTTTTCAATATATTTAGAGGAGGGGAATAATGTAATAATTTTTCATTTTAGGATGATTTTACCCCTACTTTGGACTTTCAGTAGGGCGTGACTTTCTCGGCGCTACGTAATGGCAAATACTGGTAGATTCTCATTGGTTACGAAATTAATAACATCAGGAAATTAAAATTGTTGTTGATAACGATGAGACGACTTATGTCCCACCTCTGTATCGTGAGAAAACTTTTAATTGGCTATTCACTACACCAGTTGACATTCGGCCGCATTTATATCATATGTATATTTCAACAGTGAAAGAAAGCTGTGTAAATTTCAGAAGCTAATTAGGCAACGTCGAGAATGCCACGCCTTACTGAAAGTCCAGACTAAGCATGTAATTCTTCTAATCAACCTTTGAGCTCAGAAAGCTAATGCAATGATGGCTACATGTAATTGTGATGTATTACAGTATATGTTATGACTGCCAGTAAAACTGTTAATAATACGGGTCTTATTCCCTTAGAAAATATTCATTCATAGGGAGTTGGCTAAAATATAATATGTCATCTTCTCTAGCCAAGGGTTTCTGATACGCTACTGACTCCTCATAAACCCTTGGCCTACGGTGTTCATAGAAATCAGGATTTTTTTCCAGAGTTCTGATTGGATTTCAGTACACCCAGGTCGACCAATCAGCAATTGTTTATTGTAAATGACGATATTTGCGTTCGGGATACATCTTCACTCTTTAATCTCAGAAATGAAAAACGCAAGAAAACAACGATCCGTAAGATAACATTAATTCTATGAATAGCCATGGTGTCATCCAATATCCTTCTAAATATGTGATTAAGAATCTATATTGAAGCTTCAGATTTATGCTATAAATAATGAATAAACATAACTCAATTATTGCTTCATAATTATTCTTGAAAAAACTTTGATTTAACTTTTTTTAACACGTGTCTTTATTTCTGGCGATGACGCAATCTGTGCGTACCTGTTAGATTCGAGATCACGTGACGGAAAACAATCCCGTCTTTTGACTTCACCGTATGCCAAGAGTTTATGAGGAGAGTAGCGTATCAGAAACCCTTGGCTAGCGAAGATGATAATATGTAGACTATTCATTTTCTCACCTAAACTCTTGGAATTCATTTATTTTTTTAAAAAAGTGGAATTTTACAAGGGTTTAATTGATTCTGTAATTTTTGTGGTCGTATATTGCTAGTCATTTCATTTTGTTCTCAAATATTAAGGAAAATGAAATAATTCACCCTTTTTATTAATGCAATTTAAAGTCAAAAAGAAAAGTGACTAAATATCTTTGATTTAATTGTTTTTATTGTGACTTTTAGATCTGTAATTGTTTTTATTGTGACTTGTAGATCTGTAATTCATGTGACCTGTGGGAGAGGATTTATCGTCGATATAGTGAGACGCCTATTACACCAGAACTGGAGATGTTGGCTGCAGAGAGAGGCTGGAGACGTTTATTCTTCACCAACAAACTACAGCTTCAGGTAAAGGCTGAGATCTTAACTCAAGTTAAAAACTTAACACATTGTGGTAAACACCAAAGTAGTCCACACTTAGATTTACTTGGTTTCATAAACAAATATTTCATTAAACTTTTAAAAGTAGTATCATTCAACTGTGTCAACACATTTTTTGATCATCTTCCTCTATGCAAATTTAAGAAGTGAAACTTCTGAAAAACTATTGGTAACTGATATTGCTCATTTGAAATATATTGCCAAAAAATATGATTATTATACATGTAAGATACTAAAATTAAAAAAAAAATACTGTAGACGTACTACCGGTATTTTCCATGGGGTTGTAATTCCTCGAAATCTCTATTTATCCTGAATCCGCCGGTGGAAAATTATGCGGATTTCTTAGACTCTCACTATATTCCTTACAAGTATATTTTGAGTACGATGGGACAAATTTCCGCAGAAAATTTCTGACCGCGTATATAGCGTAAATTAATACCAAGCGGAAAAAAATACTTCTACAGTATATAAAACTGATGAATACGAATGAACCACTTAAAATTCTGTATTAAGTATTTTATTATAATTTTCCATGAAAAAAAGCAAAGATGAACCTTTAAATGTATTGTCTCTCAAATTTGAGAAAAGTTATTAATCATAAATGGAATTTAGCAGTCATATTTATCGTAAACTTTAAGTCTTCATGACTTTTGATTTATTGACCCTTCATAAAATACTTAAGTGTTCTTAAAAAAGTGTGTTTTGATTTTAATGGCTTTAAAATGATTTTCTCTTTTGTCTTGTGAAATTTTACAGATGCAGCTTAGGAGACTTAAGAAACATGAAGGTGGCCACGCCTTTGTCACCGAGATGGAGACAGCATAATTAGCATTCCCCTGAAGCTCAAGGAAATCTGCTCACCGTCCAGCATCTATTGTGATAATCTCTATACAATCAAACCAGTTCTAACTTCTGGTTAACTTATACGTGTATTTTATTAAGGGGTAATTTACATGTTTTATTCAAAAATGCCAATCCATTCCAGATTTCCTGAATGCTAATATTGACTTTGTAGTGTTTTTTTCTAATTCATTTATTATTTAATTATAATTTTTTTTTCAATCAAAGCTTGCCATAACTCAAAATTTATATTTGTTTACTGACTTATGTGAAAGGACTTATTCCAGTACTAAGGCTTTTAATTTTGTTTTTGAATATGAAGTCCTAAAAAAAATATTGGGTTGTGAGCAAAAATTATGTGCATTTATTCTTCGTATATATCACATTTGTTTGCATATTGTGCCCTGCACTTTAATTGTATATCTGCATGTTGTTTTCCTTATGATAATTGCCAACTTTATACTGCTTACAATAAGTGTCTTATATTGCCTCAGATTTATAAATTAATTTAGACATTATATTCCCTCCCTGTCTGTTGTTTACTTATTTAAAATTTTATGTTTAGAAAAATAAGTGCCACTTTTTGTTTTAAGTATAAATCTGCATTCAGTAATACTTTGCATAATTATTATTTATTTGCCTTAATGTAAAATCCATATTGTTGAATATTATGATTACTCTCTATGGAATTCTTTTAATTTTGTGATTTACTTTGATGTGCCTTCAAGATTTGGACAGTTAAATTATATTTACTTTTTATATGCTCAATGACCTAGTGCCATAAGTTTTAGTTTTCGGAATGGACTAAGAGAATATTAAATTATACATTTTTCCTGAAACTTACTATTTGTGAAGATTTATTCAGCATAAATAGTTCTTCCAAGGAACTCAGCTTTAGATAGGCATTGCAGTATGATTTGAAATTCCTAATATTTGTGTATAAATAAGCTCTCTGAGAATATTTATAACTTGACTTTATAAATTAAACAGATTATTAACAATGAATGAAATAAAATTTCAGGTACTTTTATATCTCAGATCAGTGTTGAGAATGTTTGAAATTTTTGAACTTATATATTAGATAGCCAAACTTATCATTTTCATTAAAAGATGTGTTGAAATCAAGATGTTCAGACAAACTTTGTTGTTTAGTAATATACAGTTTTGTCAATATCTAAAACTGCACATTTTCTTTGCAGTTTAGAAGAAATTAATTATTATTTGGAAATTTAATGGTAAACATGTGGAACATGATGATAAAATGTTAGAAAGTTACATAATATGATGTACATGAATGTGTTGATGAAATCATATTGTAGTTGATATTAGTTATCAAATAAAAAAATAAAATACACCAAATCTTATTCCTTTTTCCAAAAGTAATGTTTTACTATTTCATTGGGGATGTTTACGAAATATTTTAAGTATGACTTGACAATGGACATTGCATTTTTCGGAATCTTTCTAGGGTTTATGATAGAGAGAAGGAAGAAATTAGAGGCATTCCGCTGACATATGACGGCGACCATCCGAATTTTCAGGAAAAACGAAACAGAACTTTTTAACCCCCCAAAAATGGAATCGATTTTAAACGAAGTAGTTGATTCAGCAGATCTTAAGGTTTGTAACAAGTAGTGATGGTGTTTAAAGGGTAAAAGTTTAAAAAGGAAGTTAAACGCATCAAGAAATCCAAATTTTCTCAAGACCCAAATAAGCTACTTGTATACGTCGATATACAAAAACGCTGAATGAGTCATTTTGTATAAACTACAAGTAGCCTCTTGTCCTCAGTAATACATTTGATATCGGTACAACTACTTCTAGCATTTATATTTATCCACGATAAATGCAGGGACCTATACTGAGGTAGCTTTATTTAGCTACCAAATCAATTTGTTTATATATAAAAACATTTTTCTCAGGATGTGCAGAAAATCTCAATTTGATGCAGTGATCATTTTCAACTTTTAACTCACCTGAAAACAATTCATGTAAAAATCACTCTTGAAGAATAGTCCTGCAATATTTCTCTTTGACAGTCATTACACATGACAAAGAACAGCGTTAACAATATATTAATTATTCAGCACAATGTGAAGAAACACAGTATGCCTTGCATACAAGAGAGAGGACAGTTAACCAAACAATGGAATAACATGTTTTGCTGCAAATTGTCCAAATGCAGCAATGTATAAACTGTCTCTGCTTTATATAGTATAAATATTATGTCATTTAATTGTATTTTTTGTGAAAAGTGAAAAGTTTCATTGAAATAGAATCACTATATTAAAGCAGTGATGCCTATGTAGAAACATTTTGGGTAATACTTGGTATAAAATAACCTGCAGCCTAATATTTCTCACACTTACACCACATATATATGATATAGAAACATTTGTATGTTGACACTGCTTGCAGCACTGAAATAGTGTTTTATCTATATAAAATATCTAGTATGTGCAGTGATGCCAGAGAAACATTTTGGGTAAATATGGTAAAATAACCTGCAGTTTCTCACATTTCCCACAAATATGATATAGATTAGAGTACAATACTTAACATGCTTAAAGGCAATGACAGAGCTAACAGAAAATTACCATCTGTCCTATTCGGCAGCACAGGGTCTTGAAACAATCTTAGCAAAATTTGGCACATAATATTAATATAATCTATTATACTGTATACCCGATTTCGCTGAGATTGTCTCAAGACCCTGTGATCAGCAGCACAGAGATTGAGAGTGAGGATCTGTCCACATCACAGCAGGTGTGTGACAAGTGCACCACTCTGGTCACAATAAGAAAAAGAGCATATAACAGAAATTTGGTTACATAACCATATATTGACCTAGACTGAAGTCCATAATAGCTGTATTATTTAATCACTCAATGTGACACTGTTCTAACTGTACAGCCTTGGTTCTCATGAGAACCAAGGTGTGTGACAAGTGCAATATACTCTGGATACAATAAGAAAAAGAGCATAAGCTAATAAAGAAAATCACTTAAATTAGAGCATATAAGACATAAAGAAAATCACTTAAATTAGATTACTTTCCCTTTTTTTAGAGTCAATATCACTTGACATGGTTGGTTACATAACCATATATTGACCGAATGAAGTCCATAATAGTTGTATTATTTAATCACTCAATGTGACACTGTTCTAACTGTACAGCCTTGGTTCTCATTACAACACAATGATAAAAATGTTTCCTATATTTTGAATTGACATCACATTAACTATCTTTGGTGCAGCTGAACGGGTAGTGGTATCATATTCACCAACACACTTTCAATATCACAAAAAGATGAATATTATTATATCATGTTAAGCCAATGAAAATTGTAAAAAATTATATGAATGATATAAAAAATTAACTTGCATCTTTGAAAATCTTAAATATTACGATACACAGTAATAATTTTTTGTTTAACAATACAGTACAATTTTAATTTTTATGTATCGGTATACTTGTTTGTTCGTATATCTTTATAGCCCAGAGAATTACTAGAAATATTATACCTCACTTATGACTGTAGTACAATTGCAGGAAACAAACTAATAGACTTCCGTTCTTTTCTTATCCTAGAAATTTGAGTTGATGTATAATGACCAGCTTCGTCGAGGACAAGTGAGTGAGAAGGCTCAGTTTGAGTATGCCTGGTGTTTAGTAAGAAGTAAATACATAGACGACATGAAGACAGGAGTGGGACTGCTAGAAGGTAGAGAGGGGAGGTTTCAAAAGCATTAAAAAAGTAATATTTACACATTGGTGGAGCCAACTGTAACTGCTAATTTATACTTTATACTAAAGATTGTTATGGAAATCATTATATTGTGAATTGCCCTACTTATAATTCTGTATGGAGTGATTTATTTTACATTTTAGATTTATTCAGGAAAGCAACAGATGACAATTCCCGTAGGGATTACTTATATTATATGTCAGTGGGATACACCAGGATAAAGGTAAAATTATGTAAAGATCAGTTATATTACATGTCAGTTGGATACACAAGAATAAAGAAAGGTATAATTTATTTTTTATGATATTATTCACGCCGGCATATTTCATGAAGCTAACGCGCTTCATGATAAATATGCCGGCGTGAAGCGTTGTAGTTCATACACCTCATGAATCTTCAAAAAATTAAATTCATTTCTTATATTTACATTATTTTTCTGATGACTTGCCATATATTAAGGCGGTTCAACTGTCATTTTTTAAACAAAACAGTGTGCACTATATTCTTTGAACTCAAGAGCGGTATTATGATCATGCTTATGATTACCTAATGTAGTTCATGAGAAAATATACTGCATTTTATTTTGTAAAGAATCATAGGGAAATTTATTGGAAATGTAAATATTGATATTTGTACCTTAAATTTATTTTACATCAACAAATTACAATATAATATAATAATAATTTTGTAATTCACTAGTTGTTTTAGAATGAAGCAAATCTCATTATCTTCCCTACAGGAATACCCCCAGGCTCTGAAATATGTCAAGGCCTTACAAAAAATAGAACCAGGGAATCACCAAGCTTTAGAATTACAGAAATATATTGAAAAGAAAATGACCAAAGGTGAGATTTCTAAATAAAAAATATGGTAACACAGTTGAACTTCATTATCTGAAAATCTGAATTTTCAATTCCATGGAAATCACTAAGTGATTTTGGGTCCCAACAACTCTATGTATTACAATCCCAATATCTCAAATCATCGGAGATCTTAAGAATTTTTCCTTGGTCCCATCTGGTCTGTGATAATGAAGTTTGACTGTATATTCAGATTAAGAGAAGATTTTTAACTTTTGGATCATTGGACTTTTAGGAAGAGGGCTGACTTTTACAGTTGATGGCTTACTTTTACACTAGGACAATGTATGGAAGCTCTTTTATGATATCAGTATTTAGGTCAATATTTAATTCAACAAAAATAATGGGTTATCGCAATGCACATATAAGTTGTCTTTAGAGAAAACAACAACCACTCTACCCCCACTCCTGGTCTTCACATGTAAGTGCCAATAAAACCATACCTATGACCACTAGAAAGGTTTGCTTATCTATTATCAATTCTGTACCTCCGTATATGGAACAGGTTTAAATGTCCAAGTAAGCTGTCACCTGTAAAAGTCAGCGTTCCTCGTAAATGTCCATTAGTGACTTGAAGGACTTCTAAGCTTGTGAAATTCATTGCCCAAGAAATGTGGCACATAAAGTGTATTGCAGTAAGATATAAAATCTCCTTTGTATTTTACAGAGGGAATCCTTGGTATGGCTATTGTAGGCGGAGCTGCTCTGGCGATAGGGGGATTGGTGAGCCTCGGTATAGCTCTCTCTAAAAAGTAAACAGGTTTTATATGGACCAATTCTGTGTTTTTACAAACCCTTTTCTTTATAAGGACAAGTGCTACAGTTCTTAGAGATCTATGAAGTGTATTCATATGAGTGATATCCGTATGTGGTGGAACTTGAGGGAAACGGTTGACCAAATGGTTATGTTCTGTTTATCTTGATATATGAAGTTTTTAATTTATGCCATATTATATTTGTTTATTTACATAATGATACAGAAATTGTTTGAAAATGTACCATGTATTTACATTGATCATGAGATTAGTTGATTAAAATTGCTTTTTGTATTGACGTGCAATTTTCATTGCTTTGATGGCAGGGAGGTTCATGATAGTTCCTGGAGTTCTTACAGTGTTGGTGGCACAGAAACTGGTCAATGGACAACAAACAAAACATAATCACATTCATACAGATTTTATTTATCAGATACTTCCATATAAAGTTGGTGATGTTATAGAGGAAAAACAAGGCCTTATGTTGGTTGACCCTAGCTCAACCCCATGGTAATGTCCTCACACATAGAATATAAGATCAAGTGAAGTCACAGAGTGTAATAGACATTTCAAATGTCCTCACACAGAGTGTAATAGACATATTAAAATATCCTCACACAGAGTATAATAAACACACTGAAATGTCCTCACACAGAGTGTAATAGAAACATTAAAATGTCCTCACACAGAGTGTAATAGACACATTGAAATGTCCTCACACAAAGTGTAATAGACACACTGAAATGTCCTCACACAGAGTGTAATCAACACATTGAAATGTCCTCATACAGAGTGTAACAGACAATTGAAATGTCCTCATACATAGTGTAATAGACACATTGAAATGTCCTCACACAGAGTGTAACAGACACATTGAAATGTCCTCATACAGAGTGTAATAGACACATTAAAATGTCCTCACACAGACTGTAATAAACACATTGAAATAATAATAGAGTAATAGACTCATTGAAATGCCCTTACACAGAGTGTAATAGACACACTGAAATGTCCTCTTATAGATTGAATAGACACTGAAATGTCGTCTTAGAGAGTGTAATAGACACATTGAAATGTCTTCACACAGACTGTAATAAACACATTGAAATGTCCTCACACAGAGTGTAAAACACATTGAAAAGCCCCCACAAAAAGTGTAATAGACATACTGAAATATCCTCTTAGAGAGTGTAATAGACTCATTAAAATGACCTTACACAGAGTGTAATAGACGCATTGAAATGTTCTCACACAGAGTGTAACAGACACATTAAAATGTCCTCACAAAGATTGTGACAGACACATTGAAATATCCTCACACAGAGTTTAATAGACTCATTGAAATGTCCTCTTAAAGAGTGTATTAGACACACTTCAATGTCCTCAAACAGAGTGTAATATTCACATTTAAATGCCGTTTTAAAGAGTATTAGACACACTGAAATGTCCTCATACCGAGTATAATAGTCACATTGAAATGTCCTTACACAGAGAGTATTAAACACATTGAAATGCCATCACAAAAAGTGTTATAGACACTCTGAAATGTCCTCACACAGAGTGTAACAGACACATTGAAATGTCCTCACACAGAGTGTAATATACACACTGAAATGTCCTCACGCAGAGTGTAATAGACACATTGAAATTTCCTCACACAGTAAAAGTGTAACAGACACATTAAAATGTATTCACACAGAGTGTTATAAATATATTGAAATGTCCTTACACAGAGTGTAATAGACATAATGAATGCCATCACATAGAGTGTTATAGACACTCTGAAATATCCTCTTACACAGTGTATTAGACACACTGAAATATCCTCACACAGAATATAATAGACACATTGAAATGTCCTCACACAGAGTGAAAAAGACATATTGAAATGTCCTCAAACAAAGTCTAACAGACACACTAAAATGTCTTCATACAGAGTGTAATAGACACATTGAAATGTCCTCACACAGAGTGAAATAGACACATTGAAATGTCCTCACACAGAGTGTAATAGAAAACTGAAATGTCATCTTACAGAGTATAATAGACACATTGAAATGTCCTCCAACAGTGTATAATAAACACATTGAAATGTCCTCACACAGAGTGTAACAGACACATTGAAAGGTCCTCTTACAGATTATAATAGACACATTAAAGCATCCTCACACAGAGTGAAATAGACACATTGAAATGTCTTCACACAGAGTCTAGTAGTCACATTGAAATGTCCTCACATAGACTGTAACAGACACACTGAAATATCTGTCCTCACACAGAGTGTAAAAAAACATATTGAAATGTTCTCACACGGAGTATAATACACACTGAAATGTCCTCTTACAGAGCGTATTGGACACATTGAAATGTCCTCACACAGTGTGTTATAAACATTTTGAAAGGTCTTTGAATGACACATTGACACATTGAATGCCATCACATAGAGTGTTATAGACACTCTGAAATGTCCTCACAAAGACTGTAATAGACACACTGAAATGTCCTCTTACAGAGTGTAATACACACACTGAAATTTAATTCCTCACACAGAGTGTAATAAACACACATAGACTGATTGAAATGCCCTCATACAGAATTTAACAGACACATTGAATTCCATCACGTAGAGTGTTATAGACACTCTGAAATATCCTCACACAGAGTGCAATAGACACCTTGAAATGTCCTCACACAGAATGTAATAGACACACTAAAATGCACTCACACAGGATGTAATAGACACACTTAAATATCCTCACACTATAATACTGTAAATCACTTTTTACAGAGTGTAATTACGCAGATCGCGAAAATTCCATTCTCGCGTATAATAGAATTCCTTAAGATTATATAGAGCAACGACCACAATTCGTGGAATTTGGTCACGCGAATTAAGGGTCAATGACTATCTCGCAAAAATAAGAAGTCGCGAAAATTAAGTGATCTACAGTAGACACACTGAAATATCCTCGTACAGAGTGTAACAGACACATTGAAATGTCCTCATACAGAGTGTAACAGACACATTGAAATGTCCTCAAACAGAGTGTAATAGACACACTAAAATGCACTCACACAACGTGTAATAGACACATTGAAATGTACTCACACAGAGTATAATAGAAAAACTGAAATATACTCTCACAGAGAGTGTAACAGACACCTTGAAATAACCTCACACAGAGTGTAATAGACACATTGAAATGTCTTCACACAGAGTAAAATAGACACATTGAAATGTCCTCAAACAGAGTGTAATAGACACATTGAAATGTCCTCACACAGAGTATAATAAACACATTAAAATGTCCTGAAACAGAGTATAATAGACACATTAAAATGTCCTCACACAGAGTATAATAGACACATTAAAATGTCCTGAAACAGAGTATAATAGACACATTAAAATGTCCTCACACAGAGTGTAATAGACACATTAGAATGTTATCACCCAGAGTATAATAGACACATTAAAATGTCCTCAAACAGAGTGTAATAGACACACTGAAATATCCTCATACAGAGTGTAATAGACACATTGAAATGTCCTCACACAGAATGTAATAGACACATTAAAATGTCCTCTTACAGAGTGTTACAGACACATTGAAATGTCCTCACACAAAGCATAACAGACACACTGAAATATCCTCACACAAAGTGTAATAGACACATCAAAATGTCCTCAAACAGAGTGTAATAGACACATTAAAATTCCCTCACACAGTAAAAGTGTAACAGACACATTAGAATGTAGTCACACAGAGTATAATAGACACACTGAAATGTCCTCTTACAGAAAGTTATAGACGCATTGAAATGTCCTTACACAGAGTGTAATAGACACACTAAAATATCCTTGCACAGAGTGTAAGAGACACACTGAAATGTATTCACACAGAGTGTAACAGACATGATGAAATGTACTCACACAGTGTGTAATAAACATACTGAAACGTCCTCTTAGAAAGTGTAATAGACACATTGAAATGTCCTCACAAAGAGTATAAAAGTCAAATTGAAATTTCTTCACACAGAGTGAAAAAACATATTGAAATGTCCTCACACAGAGTGGAATAAACAGACTGAAATGTCCTCTTAGAGAGTGTAATAGACACATTAAAATGCCTTCACACAGAGTGTAATAGACGCATTTAAATATCCTCATACAGAAAGTGTAACAGACACATTGAAATAACCTCACACAGAGTGTAATAGACACACTGAAATGTCCTCACACAGAGTGTAATAGACACATTGAAATGTCCTCACACAGAGTGTAATAGACACATTGAAATGTCCTCACACAGAGTGTAATAGACACATTGAAATGTCCTCACACAGAGTGTAACAGACACATTGAAATGTCCTCCTAGAGAGTTTGATAGACACACTGAAATGTCCTCACACAGAGTGTAACAGACACACTGAAATGTATTCACACAGAGTGTAATAAACATACTGAAATGTCCTCTTAGATAGTGTAATAGACACATTGAAATGACCTCACACAGAGTGAAATTGACACATTGAAATGTCCTCACAAAGAGTGTAATAGAAACATTGAAATTTCTTCACACCAAGTGTAATAGACACATTGTAATGTACTCACACAGAGTATAATAGACACACTGAAATGTCCTCACACAGAGTGTTATAGACACATTGAAATGTCCTCACACAGAGTGTAATAGACACATTGAAATGTCCTCACACAGAGTGTAATAGACACATTGAAATGTCCCCACACAGAGTGTAACAGACACATTGAAATGTTCTCCTAGAAAGTGTAATAGACACACTGAAATGTCCTCACACAGAGTGTAACAGACACACTAAAATGTATTCACACAGAGTGTAACAGACATGATGAAATGTACTCACATAGATTGTAATAAACATACTGAAATGTCCTCTTAGAGAGTGTAATAGACACATTGAAATGTCCTAACAAGGAGTGTAATAGACACATTAAAATGCCTTCACACAGAGTGTAATAGACGCATTTAAATATCCTCATACAGAAAGTGTAACAGACACATTGAAATAACCTCACACAGAGTGTAATAGACACACTGAAATGTCCTCACACAGAGTGTTATAGACACATTGAAATGTCCTCACACAGAGTGTAATAGACACATTAAAGTGCCCTCACACAGAGTGTAATAGACACATTGAAATGTCCCCACACAGAGTGTAACAGACACATTGAAATGTCCTCCTAGAGAGTTTGATAGACACACTGAAATGTCCTCACACAGATTAACAGTACACACTGAAATGTATTCACACAGAGTGTAATAAACATACTGAAATGTCTTAGTATAGTTAATAGACACATTGAAATGATCACACAGAGTGAAATTGACACATTGAAATGTCCTCACAAAGAGTTGTATACATTGAAATTTATTATTTAATTTCACATTGTTAACACACTGAAATGTCCTCACGCAGAGTGTAATAGACACATTGAAATGTCCTCACATAGAGTGTAATCGACACATTGAAATGTCCTGATACAGAGTGTAACAGACACATTGAAATGTCCTCATACAGAGTGTAACAGACACATTGAAATGTCCTCACACATAAAGTGACACACTAAAATGTATTCACACAGAGTGTAACAGACATGATGAAATGTACTCACATAGATTGTAATAAACATACTGAAATGTCCTCTTAGAGAGTGTAATAGACACATTGAAATGTCCTAACAAGGAGTGTAATAGACACATTGAAATTTCCTCACACAGTAACCATTGAAATGTCTATAACATACAGTGTCATAACAACACACTCTCTCTTAATCTTAACCTCAAGGAGTCTCAGATCAGGTACATGATTAACTTTTATAAGGATTGTTATCTATCATACAAATACAAACTTCTTGATTTTTACAAGACTAAAATAAGTCAACATAACATAAGTTATCTTTCATCCATGGTCAAACATTCATTTATGTACTTTTGATTAGTTTCTTTCTCTTGTTTGACATTATTACAAATTTCTTTAACAACTGATTGTCAAAAAAACGTCATTAAAATGACATTAACTCTGGGGAGGCAGGAGAACTTGTTACATTAACACATGTGGTAAAAGTGATGAAAAAAATTGCAAAAGCAGAGCACTATAATATAATTAGCTAGATATTATTTACATACAAACACATTGAAATCATTCCTCACACAATGTCTTAGATGCAAAAAAATTTAATTATTCTCACACAAAATGTAAAACACATTGCAGGCATGTTTTTTACTGAGTGTAAGCAGGACACATTTTTTGAAATGTCATTTGTACAGAGTGTAATAGACACATTAAAGTTCCCTCACACAGTTATAATATGTACAACATTGAAATGTATTCCAAACATTTATTAGGCATTTAAAATTGTGATAAAATACTTTAGATTTAGAAGAAATATATTGTTTTTCTAACAAGAGGCCCAGGGGCCACAGCCCTCACCTGAGCACATCGGGCTTGAATTTACCCCGCCCCCCCCCCCCCCGGCATTCATCATTTGAACAAACTAGAATCTACACTACCTGAGGCTGATTCCGTATAAATATCACTAATCATAGCTTTGAAGATTATATAGAAGCAATAACCACTATATATTTGTAAAAATTTTGTCATGATTTGAACAAACTTGCTACACTACCTGAAGATGATTCCACATGAGTTTCAGCTTTCCTGGCCCAGTGGTTCATGAGAAGAAGATTTTTAAAGATTTTTCTATATATTCATAATGTAAAAGAAAAGTTTTTAATACCGGGGTTCATGATTTAACAAACTTTTCTACACAGATTAAGATTCCACATGAGTTTCATCTTTCCTGGCCAAGTGTCATTAGAAGAAGATTTTTAAAGATTTTTGCTATATAGCCATGTAAAACAGTATATTTTTGCACCCTTGCCCCGGGGGATGATATAAAATACAGCAGATACATCTTATACAAGCTGTATACAGTTATTATTTGATTTCTTTACAGGATATATTGTCATACCAGATTTTTAAAGATTTTTCTATATATTCCATAAAAATGGCCCCACCCTAGCCTGTCATGAACAAACAACACACTCTCTCTTCATCTTTCCTGGCCAAGTGGTTCTGGAGAAGAAGATTTTTAAAGATTTTACCTATATATTCAGGATATAAAACTTGGGTTGGCCATCATACAAACACAAACTTCTTGATTTTTACAAACTTGAATTTACACTAAGTGAACACATGAGTTTCATCTTTCCTGGCCAAGTGGTTCTGGAGAAGAAGATTTTTTAAAAATGCCATTAATTTTTCTTAATTTCTTTCTCTTGGAAAAGGGTGTGGCCATTATTACAAATTTCCCCTTTAACAAGGATACTTTGTGCCAAGTTTGATTGAAATTGGCCCAGCGGTTCTTGAGAAGAAGTCGAAAATGTGAAAAGTTTTAACTCTGCTGAGGCAAGAGAACTTGTTAAATTATTAATCTGTGGTCAAAGTGATGAAAAAAATTGCAAACACAAAGCATTTATGAAAAAGGGAATCACTCGATTTTCTTTTTCATTAGAAAATTGAGTTATTTCCCTTTTCAATATGTCAATAAAATTTATTGATGTGGCCGTTTTTGAACTGATGCGGCGGTGCCTGAGAAACTATTGATTAATTTTTTTTGGCCTTAAATACCTTATATATGGTGAAGTGAGTTGACAGTCCCAACCCTTATCACATGTACATGTATTTTAATATTTCACACTTGGTATCTTGAATCCTCATACACCTTGAAGTAAAGTGTTGGTCCTAACATGTGTGAGATAACAAGGTTTGACTGTATATGTTACATTTCATTTTAATCTCACCAAAATAGAAAAGTATTACCAGTATTTGATAAAGATACACATTAAAACAAAACTAATAACTTTGAGAAAAATAATAATGATAATATGTGTGACAAAACTTCCTTCTTATATCACCTGTCATGACTGAACATTGAACAACGAAACATTACCATAATTGTAATCTATCACACATTTGGAAATATGACAACCTGGGTAGACATGTATTTTATAATTTATAAATAAATCATAAAGTATATCATATTGCACTTGTCTTTATGGTAAAATAGGTACTCCACCATCACATTTGTTATCTGGAGTTCCATAAAGCTATGGTCTGTAATCTGTGGTGCCAGTTCTTGAAAATGCATTGATGTGTCAAAGAAGAACAGACTGAAATGTAAAATGGACATCTCTGGTTGAACTTTTAAAACAATATTTCCTTGTCAACTTAGCCATAACTGATTCCTGTACTATGTCAAGACACTGGATCATTCAAATCTGTTCTGTATATTTTAATCAGCATTGCTGCAGATTACATCCTCCATAAAAATAAAATTTTCAAATCCTGGTGCAAAAGCATGTCACTACCACTCCATGACTGTCACAAAAAAGAAACCTTTGATGATGTCACAACAGTGACTGTTCTATCATGATGCTGTCAAATCCGTCTGGGGGCTGGTGGTAAAATTTGTCAAACTGGACATCAATAACTGCTCCCTCATCCACTGAAAAATTACATGTACATTGCATCATCTTCTATTGCTTATTGTGAGCTTAAAAAAAAACCCCACTCTAATTTTATACTATAGCACTATAATATAATGCATTGGAATTTACATAAAAACCTTACGAAAATTAGTACCATGGACCTTTGACAATTTGTAGAGACATTTTGAATTGGAACTTGCAATTTTTAAATTTATATAAGACATGGCTTTGCAAAATTTGATTCAAATTTCTGTTAACATAGATCCAAACAATCAATATATTTTCCTATAAATACGGATTTCACTTCACTTTTAAACACTCATGACTGGGTGTTTTAAAATCATGCAAAGGATTTTCCAAAAATATACCATAAAACACTGGATACAAAGTCCCTTTCATTCCAGTGAATGGACAAGACAAAGGGTGGCCATTAAGGTAGAAGTTTAACTGGACATGATCATATGTAAGACCCTATAAAAAAAAGATGAGAAAAGCTTGGTTATGATGGTACGAAATATATACTGATATCCTAAAAAAAATGACTATTCATGGCAAGATTCCAGGTATTAATTATCTAAAGTGAACTACATTGTACATGTATCACTTCACTACTGAATTTTAATTTTTTATGGAATAAAATATTCTGGAGAAATTGATTCCTCATCTTACCAAAACATCTCCTTCCTGAGGAGTTTCTGACAACTTCCCCTTCTGTTGTTTGTCATGGAATAGAGACCCGTCATGTCTGACGACCCAGGACTCGGTGTTGTCTCCCAGGGGCACTGTGTTCAAGTTACACCTTCTTGTGGCCAGTCCTACTCCCCATACACCTAGTATTGATTAAATGTTGTATTGATTAAATGTTCTTTTTTTAACAAATAATTTAAAATTCCTTCAATAAATATTTAAATTCTTTTTAGAAAAATAAATTCACATTGACATTCTGCTTTTTACAAGGAATAAGTTATCTGCTAGTACTCAAAAGCAATATCAGAAATTAAATGTTTTTCATGAAACTTCAAAAGAAAGTCAATGGGTAAATTTTCATTTACTTTCTTTCTTGACTGCATGGACTTTGCCCATTGTGTAGTTACTAAGGAATTCAAGAGGATAGTGAAAGCTTGTTAATATGGGCTCGGTATTAAATCTTCTATGAATGTCCTCTAGCTGTTAGTGGTAACTCTCCTTGTAGAAATCTAATTTTTGTCACCCTTTTTGTGTAAGCACTCTAGTGGAGACATTACAAGGCCCCCACATGTGAAGGTCGTTGGCTCTGTCTCTTATTTCATACTTCTACACCGTGCAGTGAACATCAATCGCTGTGAGCCATTTATTTTGCTTTGCATTTGTAGAGAATTTTTCCTCAACTGCGAAAATAATCATCGCAGATCGATTTCAAACTAATGAATTATGAATAAAAGATGAGGCAAATAATAGTTGGTTTACAGTATTTGAGCTATCCATGTTTGCGATACCTATTTTCCCTTTCATATTTTTAAGAAAATGGATGTTTTTCACACGGTGAGAAAGTCCGTGTGCACAGCTAACTTCCAGTGTACTTCATAATCATGGGCAAATCCATGGCACCAAGGGAGAAAATGCAGTGGATGAATCCCCCTAAATTATATCCTATTAATCTTTCTGGGTGCTCTAGAGATAGAACTTAGTGAAACCCCGCATGGACAATATGTACCTGTACTTCGAATTTTCACTTCAAAATAAGCCTTATCTTGTGCGATTGGTGCATTGGAAAGTGCTGCTCCTGTTCCACAGATTCGTCGACCGTCCTTTACAATTACTACATCATTACCTATCAATAAAAAATTGTTAAATCGGATGTAAACCTCAAGATAGTAATCAGCAACTGATAAAATTCTAGTAATTTACTATGTGTCTTCTACAGATCGCGCTGCCACTAACGGATTTAAAGTTTTACCCATCAATGTAGTGTCAAGTTTCACCGTAGGAATTTCTTTTAGAGGTATATGACCCGAATTAAAGCCGGGGCCGTCCCAACAACATCGTAAACAGCAAAAACAAGCAGCCATTCTTGATACTTCCGGTGATTGAAAATTCATTAACTCGTACCTAACGTTATTCATAGTTGCATGTGATAATGTTCTGTATAGTGTACATCCCTGGTTAAAGAGATAATTTTAAGAGAATATAATAAAGATCTTGTTTTAACGTTAAAAAGATTACAAAGCTTTGATTTCACAAGTATTTCTGGTTGAAATAAAGGGGGGGGGGAATGAAAGCGGATCAAAGATCTAATTAGATTAATCTTATCTTACAAATTAGATAATTCATATCCAGGTTTTAATTTTTGTAAATATTTGCATTCATTTTTTTCTACAGAAGGTCAAAATTAAACTTTCTAAATTCAGTGCAATCTAAATTTTTTTTGTTGCTTTTTATATAGCTATATAATAAATCATCTGATAGAGATAAACTTTAATTGATACTAAATCTACATATTTTTAAAATACACAAAATATAAATAAAATTTTCAAATAGTGAAATTTGCTTTTCTGGCATATTTTTTAGAAAAATAATGAATATTCATTGAAAATCATTGTAAAAATTGCTTGTAAAAAATTATATTGCGATATTTTGGGGAAAAAATTGTAATATATAGCGTTACGAAATTTTTGGCAATACCCAACCCTAACATACTCTCTGCATTTTCTTTTTAGATAAACAAAACAAAGATATATATCAATTTATGTAAAACTAATTTTAATGGGTAATTTATTATAATTTTCTTTGTTTTCTTGATAAGCACACAATCTGATATTGTATAAGTTAATTTATTTGCACTCTCAATATCTCTCACCAACTGCTTTCACACCCATGTATAATACACAATGACTGTAAATATAAACCAACAGCCAAAGCATATTGAAAATCATTGCAATATAAATTTTATCAATGATTTATAAACACCTCAGTGTATTAAATCAGTTAATCTTATCACAAAATGCATCGAAGTGATTCCAACAAGGCACTGTTGCATCCCAAATACTTAACAGCAGCACTAAAAATACAGTATTTTCCCATACTGGAATTCTCTGATGATCTGATTTTCTTCTGAGCAAAGTTCTTTTCAAACTAGTTCATCAAGATCAATCCAAACTCTCAACAGTAAAGTCTGCAAGGCTTTCTGGGACTTCCCTCTTCAGAGTTATCCCCCCTCACTCCTCCTCCTCTTCACCCCTTGGAGTGGATGTCACCCCGTATAAGATTTCTGACAGCGTGTCTTTACTGTGTTTGAAGACTTGTAAACAGCTTGGTGAGCATGCTCGGAAAAGGAATGGCAGGTTCTTAATACCATGAAGTTTACTGACGGGACGAATAATTCGTAATCCTGGACCATACAGGGCACCATGACAACAGTCACAAACTGAGCGGCTGCAAAGAGATACATTACATACAATTACCTTGTGCACTTATTTTAAAATTCATATATATTTCTGGGAATGGTTGATAAAACTCTTTGATACTTGATATTTAATGAAAACAAAATAGAACTGCTAATTTCTTTCACAAACTTACCAAAAATAGTGCAAATATACAATATTCTTTTGAATTAATGCGTATGTACTTACTTGGCCAAGACCTTTTTGACCGACTCTGGTACAGAATCCATGTCACTTATTACCTCCCCTTCTACCAGAGTAAGCGCACACATGTCAATCAGTCTCTACAAAAGATACCATTTTTATCATGTCAAAACCATATCAATTTGTTTTTGTTTTCCTTGGAGGTGGGGGTTTGGGAAGAGAGGGATATCATCATGCACTTCTTCACAAAGTGTTACCCTCTTCATAATCCATGTATTTAATCTTTAAACATTTATAAGATTTGAAGAAAGGAGGGTGTAGTACTTGATTTGTACCTGTGGCTGATTCTGGGTGTTTTCTTTCCAGAAGAGTGGGTGCATGAAGTTATTCTTGACATTGAGATAGAACAAGTCTAGCAGCAGAGCCCCACACGGCATGGCTGGTAGCTGATTCCCCTCCATGTTCAACTCACGCAAGTTTCTGTTAAAAACACAAAAGTATAAAAGTAAAAAAAATATTGAAAAACTGACTGAATACAATTAGAAGACTAAAACAATCAGTGGATTTTTACATTTTCCTTGTAATACCTCATGTTGGCAATCTCATTCTGAATGAAGGTAAGCTTGTTGTAGGAAATATCTAAATGAATCAGTTTGGGCAAAGCAAATAACCTAAAAAAAAAAAAAAACAATTAGTAAACAAATGTGTTTGATCATCTAATTTTGTCTAACAGCTCAAGCAAATTTATCTCTTAAAACTTATACAAAACATTAGGTTGAAAAGATGAAGGAAAAGTCTTATATGAGGGGAAACACCCCCACCCCCCAAAAAAAGAAATACTGAGAAATAAGAAAAAAAAATTTGAGTTGGGACTCCATGATATACAGAATGAGCAAAAATATTTTCATAAGAAAGTAATTGAGGTATATGTACCCCATTGGGATGTTGGTGAGGAGGCAGAAGGAGACGACCAGGATCCTCAGGTTCCGCATACGATGGATGTCTGAGGGGAGTTCACGCAGTGGATTATTTCTCAGCTTCAGAATCTCCAGCTGTCGAATCTCCAGGATTTCTCGGGGAAATATCTAGGATAAAAATGTAATAATAACAATTCATGGGCATGTTTAATAAACAAGAGGCCCACGGGCCTTATAGGTCACCTGAGTATCATGTAACAACTTTCCAGCGATTGTATTTCAATTTGGTTCGTGTTTTAATCCAAAAGCCATGAAATTCACAAATTTTGAAGAAGGCACCATTGCTTATCAAAGGGCAGATTTCAAAGCATTAATTTATTTTTTGTCAAAGTACCCCCCTGGTACCCCTGACCCAGCGTCCCTGAAAGTATCTATTTTGAAAGAGGCCCCTTTCTTCATTATAAGGCCAGAATTTATTTTTTGTTTAGGTTTAGTTATGAACATGAGAATAAAAAAGTCCCAAAGGAGAAGGAAATCAAATTTTTTTTGGATAAATCAATTATTAACATTTGTACATTCTTTTTTTTATGCTATTATAATAGGCTAAAAAGTCCCAAAGGAGAAGGAAATCAAATTTTTTTTTGATAAATCAATTATTAACATTTGTACATTCTTTTTTTTATGCTATTATAATAGGCTCCTTACCACTGGACACATAATGCTTACAAATAGGAAAGTAAAACATTGCTTATTTCATCATCTGCCAGTTTGGGACAGTTATATAAATTGTGTGATGTTGGTCAAAATATATTTTTAAAAAAATCAATTCTTTAAAAGTCTTTCAATATATCTTCATTTTTTTTAATATGTGTTAGGTGAATGTGTAGACATTGTTCTAAAATTTAATCCTATCATAAAACAGACAGGGGGTATTGCGGGTGTAGGGTGAACATTTTTTCAATCAAGTGTAAAATAATTTTTCTGTCTGATACAAATGATACTACATGCCTGTATATATTTGTATATTCTTGCCTTAACAATTTCTTCCTCAAATGGACTGAACTTCTCCCATAGTTTTATTCATTACATCTGATGCATAAGCAACCCTTTTCTGAAGAATGATGCTTAGACTGTAAGCTATAACAGAGACCTAAACAATGTTGCTGCCCGCCGGCAATATGCCACAGCTACCACGGGCAGTTTAAAACCTGGGGGGAGGAAAATAATTTACAGACAGATACTTTTGAAACGAATACATAATTATCTCACCAGGGGGTCGTAACATAAAGTATGCTAAGTTTTTGACTTAAGTATGGTCTTAAGTAGGCGTTAAGCACATTTTTAGGACCTACATAAGTACTACTTAAATATGTCTTATACCGTAACATAAAGCGAACTAAGCAAGATCTTAGCTAAGTCATACTTATGTATTGAATTAAAATATTACACAGTGTAGAAGTTCATAATGTAGCGTTGGTTATTACATGTAAGTGTGATATTTACTCACAGACTGAATATCTTTTACTTCTTTAAGCACGCCTGGCTATTGTCACAATTGTCCTAAGGGACTTTTAGTCTTTAAAAATTCCGTCACGTTCTTTTTCACTGGGGTTTGCTTTTCCTTTACGGAAGATAATGGCAACTGTATCCTGTGATTGATACACCTATTGTGCAAAACCGCTGTCGCAATTATCACCTTAAAATGGGGGGACAATTTAATATAGTGTATAAAAACATATTATTGGTTTTAAAAATATACATTTGATATTTTCATAAAGTTATTTGTTTATACCTTGCATGCATTCGAAGGATGAAATAACAGAGGACCTCCAGTTTTATCAAGACAGCGAAAACGGCCCTTCCACACACCAAAACATCTTTCAATAGAGTTTCTAGTTTTCATATGACGAGCATAATACTATAGTATTTCATGATAATAATTTTATGAAAATCACATCTTGTTTAAATTAAAATGGGGTGGTACTAGGGAAATCGAACAAAAAAGGGGTGGGTGAAACCCCTTCCTCAAAGAGGTTGATAGTGTTATGCTCCATTTTTTTTCAACTCATTTTTCTCTTAAAACATTACCAAATTTAATGGGTTCTTAACTGTTTACTCAACATCATACAATTTTAAAATGTTAATAAATGCATGAATATTTTATATAGGTGTAAATAGCGAGGGATGGCTCTTGGGTGATTCAGCATATCCACTAAGACCATGGATGATGACCCCATTTTTACAGACTTCTACTCCCTCAGAGCATCGTTCTTTTTCCTCCCACTTTGTAGAAATATATAAGCAGACGCCAGTCGTGTAATAATAATTGTGTATTCGAACTTTACTTCTAATATCTATTGTGAATAGTGTTTAATTGTGTCTTTATTCACAGACCTCTGAATACTACTCTCAGTTTCTCTGTGATTACCGGCCAAGTTAACCTGTCATTGATTTTCAATCATAATTAATGTACACACATGTATATCATATAGGGTTATTTTGCTTCATGTATATGTTTAAATTGCTATATACATGTACACAAGACATAATTGCTATTTATTGACTGGAAGAGGCATTAGATTATCTTATTAATTAATAACAAATGAAATAATTACAATATTCTTCGTTAAATTTTAACAGTTTTACGTATAATGTGTTCCTGTTATGTATAACACGCACTTAAGTCACCTATGTTGATCGCCTAAGTTTTGCTAAGATTTGTATTTCTAAGCATCCTTTATGATACGGACTTAAGACAAATAATGTACTTATGTCTTACTTAAGTATGGTCTTAGACTTAAGTACTTTTTATGTTACGACCCCCAGCATGTCATTGTGCAACAAAGTCGTCAGCATTTTATTTGTCCTTTGAACAGGTGAAACTTTTTGAATGGCACTCGTATCGATGAATTTTACACTAAACCAAGCTATCTTTCAGATCATTTACCCGCCGTTTCATCTTAAAACCGGAAGTGCGAGTTCGTAAATGTGAAATCTCGATCCCGACTCAAATTTGACATCGGAAAGAAAAAAATTGTTTTATTTTTTTCTGAACATTCAAAACCTTGAGCGGAGGGTTTGTAAAACTGAAAATAAAATAAATTCTGGCCTTAAATATGTAATTAGATCATTAGCATATTAACCAGGATGTTCAAAGAATTCATGCATTTCACTATATAATCATTAGAGCCCCACCCTAAAACAAGAACCCCTGACCCTGGGGCCATAAAATTCATAATTTTGGTAGAGGCACTCTTGCTCATCATAACTATCTACTTAGTTGGTTTATTTAATACCCAGGAGCAGAGAAGAAGATTTTCAAAGAATTCATGTATTTTCACTATATATAATCAACAGAGCCCCGCCCTAACACCAGAACCCCTGACCCTGGGGCCATAAAATTCACAATTTTGGTAGAGGCACTCTTGCTCATCATAACTATCTACTTAGTTGGTTTATTTAATACCCAGGAGCAGAGAAGAAGATTTTCAAAGAAATAATGCATTTTCACTACCTACTTATTTAGCCCCGCCCTAGCACTAGAACCCCTGACCCCAGGGCCATGAATTTTACAATTTTGGTAGAGGACTCATTGCTGATTACAATCATGCAAACAGTTTGACTGCTTGATGTCCAGGAGTAAAGAAGAAGATTTTTAAAGATTGCATTAATTTTAGTGGTTTTGGCCCCACCCCTCAGGCCCAAGGGGGGCAGGGATCATGAAATTCACAATTTTTGTTCCCCTTTACCCATAGATGCTTTGTGCTAAATTTGGTTGAAATTGGTTCAGTGGTTGCAGAGAAGAAGCTGAAAATGTTCAAATGTTAACGCACGACGGACGACGACGGACAAAAACAGATAGCAATAGGTCACCTGAGTTTACTCAGGTGACCTAAAAATACATGTACATGGCCTTACAACTGACAAGTGTAAGACTGCACTGAGTAAAGACAAAAATGGGAATTTAAATAAGGATAGTAATTTTCTTTAAAAATACTTAAAATGCATGTACTTCTGCATTTCTTCCCTGCCAATTTAAATCTATCCTTACATCCCAAAAAATCTGCCTTATTATTTCCCAGCCACCCCCAATCTATCCTCACACCCAAAGTATATCTCTGATTATCTCAATCTGCTTCATTTCTCCCTTCCCGTTTCATGGACTTTAAGCGTACAAATATTTTGTGCATGGCATAACAAATGTTTAAACTGAAACACAGTTTCAAAGTTATATGTCCACTCACCGAGAAATCATTGAAGGACAGATTCAGATAGGTGACAGTTCTTACTAGGGGTGAAATATCTGGCATTTCTGATATAAAATGTGCCTGGAATGAAAATTAAGGATCCTTGTAAAAATCAGACATGGCAAACATAAAACAGACCCAGTGGTTTAAGTATATTCCATTATTCTTGTATTGTCTGATATGTTGAGTGAATTAAGGTATTCTTTGTAAATAAGTGCAAAACAAATTTCTTATGCTGTACATTTTTTTTAAATGAATAGCTTGCTTTTTTATGCGCTTCGAAAAGTGACAAGCCAATGCAAACTAAAATCTAACATTCCAGCTGCATGCTTTTGCTTCAGCTGATATCTTAAATAAAAAAGTTATGTGCCTCATAAATCGCTGCAATGCTGTGCATGGTTGACTTTGTTATTGGCCCATGTATTTAACTCACCTTCAGACTCAGAGCTTTTCCTCCGTTTATCAGAGCATCTAAGATGGCAAGCTCTGAAGGAGAAATGGCATTCTCGGAGGGTGCGGCTAAAAAAAATAACAATAAATTTAAGTTCTCCTGAGCAGCAACGAATGTATGAAGACCTGCAAAGCACAAGTTGGTTAACTTTAAATTCCCTTTTCTTTTTTCACAGAAATCCTGAGTTTAGTTTGTAAAAAACAACTTAGATTTTATGAAATATATAGATTCTGATGAATGGGAGAATAAGAATCAGTATACTCTTGTCGTCCTTAAATTATCTGCTGACTGATCAATACAAAGGAAGTCTAAACTACAATTATCCCCGCTTGCAAAATTTACAATCTGACAGTTGTTATTGCATATTTTTCTTTTTGTAACATTTGTTTAAATTCTGTCGCAATATAAAACTGTTTCACCTGTGTTTGCACATGTGTACAAGACACTTTAAGTAATATTTATTGGCTAAGAGATAAGCTATTTTTCATCCAGTGCCCATCCTAATATGCCATTACAAGGATACATCTTGTCACTTACTGAAAGGCGAATGACTACGTTCCGCCCCTTGGAAGTATCTAGATGGAGCAGAGTGAAACATTGAATCCATTGTTGGAATTTCTGTATCTCTACAAAAAAGTACAAAGATTGAAAGATATTCGTTTTCTTTACATATAGTGATTTTAGTTAAATAATACAAAAAGTGGGTAAAGTTGAAGAATATTTTACAAAATGATGATGATACATGTAATTCAAACAAAATTTTAATGAGAAAGAAAGAAAGTCCTTAAACATATGAAAGCTGTTCTTATTTTTAAAAACTACACCAAAATATTTTTTTGCTCATCAGACCCATGACATGCATGTATTTTAAAACAAAACTACATGTATACACAAATAAAATTTAAATTTTTTGTACTGGGAAAAATTCTGTGCTAATTTCGGTCGTATTTCCACTCTATTTTTGTATTTTGAATCTGTTTTCTCTACAAATCAGAAAAAAATATAACTTTCTGCTCAAATTTTTTCATGATCTGCCTAAAAATATTGCTTACCAAAAAGTAATTTTATTAATTGAATCTCTCATCCACTTGCACTTTTTCTATCAGATGTCCCACAAACAATAAATTAAACTGGTGTGGCCTTACTCAAAAACATATTTGATGTTTGACTCTACAATGCTGACTTTCTTTAGACCAATCAAAGTTTAATACATACTGTCGTTCTTGAGCTGATTGACTGGCAACATCAAAAGTGTCATCCTCATAGAGTATGATCTCTGTGTGCGGGACATTGTCGTCAGCGTACGATGGGCTGTACTTCCTCAGTGGTCTGATCACCGACTTGACCTCAGTGTTCATCAGATCTCGAACATGCTGTTTAATCATGGCTGCCATCTCAATCAGTAGCTGTTTCTGAGGGATCCTTGGTTCAGATGGCGGAATGTTTTGCCCTATAAAATAAAATGTTATGTTTCACCTTAAAAAGAACAAGGTTTCAATTTTGCCTTCTTTGGCCCTGTGAATTTCTGAAAATCTGAAACTGCTTAGATTTAGTTAATAATGCATCGAGTATAACTTAGATCTTTGGTGATTGTGTATCTATCAAATATGATAAAATTTTCTGGCTATAGTCAATGCATTATGACGTCACGAAATTTCCTGAGACATATTCTGAAAAAGTCTATAAAAACAGTCAATTTTTATATCTATTTTTCAATATCTAATACAGAGCGCAACCTCTGAACTAAAATATGCAACAAGGAAATGATAGAATTGTTCATGAGGATTAAAAGACATGTTTTATTATTTAGATCAGAGAGTGCACCCATATTATTTTTCTTCACTAAAAGTAACTCAAATATATCTGTTTACCTAAAAATTCAAGAACATTGCAATTTCATAAAGCCATGCACTGTTCTTCAACTTCAAGACCTGGACTTTTAGGAGAAAAATGTTAATAGGAAATGAAAGCACTAAGTCTCTATTTTATTTTAATGCTTCAAATGGAACATCAAGTGTTAATCAATCAATTGATATACATGTATCTACAGGGCTGTGTTTTATGCATAAAGTGAACCGAGCTCTTTCAAACTGTTACTGAAGATAAACTGTGTGTAATAAGCAAAAATATTAAAGTATATATGTCTTTGTATGTAATTACATGTATAAAGCTCTTCTTGCAGTAAAATTCAATTTCTAATCATAATTAAAGTACAATATTTACATGTACCTATATAGAGGAAAATTTTAACTTATGTATGTTAAACAATACTTAATCCTTTACTTTAAAATTCATACAAGTAACTCACCTTCTGGAGTCATTTCCTTCACTTTAACTTCCTCTTGAATGGTAGGATTAATATACTTTTCCGCCAAAAGATTTGTTAACTTCTTATAGTTGTGTTTTGAGTAAAATATTTCCTTGACTTTACGAACAGGTATGTTACGAAGTTCTGAGAGATGATACACAAAATTGTCTAAAGTAAAAGCTGGAGGCTGATGATAGCGGATCTCATCAAAATTATCCATCTGTAAAATTTCACCAGGCTTTTTAGGGGGTCTGGTGGGGAAATTATCTGGTCCTCGCGGTTTAAAAGGTTTAACTAATGATTTACCATCAACATAAGTACCTAAACTAGTTTTCTCACGATATATTGGATCAAGTACAAACTTCTTGTCATTTTTACGCAGGTAAGACCCATTACTGTGCGGGGATATTCCGTAATTTCTGTAGAATGTCCCCCTGGTGGGGTGTGACTCTGACGGTGGGGGAGACACTAGACTAGGCACAACACTAGGGGTGGGGGACTGAAGGTGTCTCTGACTGATGTCCATCTCCTGTTCAAAGTCATATATTTCATAGAATGGTTTGTCTGGGGAAGGTGGCAGCTCGGGTTCAAGGGGAGGTAATTTGGGTGCCCTTGGCCTGCGCAAGAGCTTGAATCCTCCCCCTCCCTTGCCCTGGCCTTTAATCATCATATTCTTTTTGTTTTTGTTTGATTCCACTAACTGAAAAATAGAATTATCAACTATACTATAAACGATACGTGTTTACAATTAAAAAAAAACAAAACATTATTCTAGTGTATGACACATTCAAGTTCAATAAAAACTTGTCAACTCACTGAGGCAACGTGCAAAATTCAAATACATGTCAAATTACAATAGCAGGATAGGTAAATAAAAATAATCTGTCAGCATTAAGTGTAAAACAATCAAGAAAACATAAATTTATTAAAAATCTTATAATGAAAGTAAATACCGAAGGTCCGTTTGCCGCCATTTTGACGCTGCACTGTCTCCATACCAACACGTGCATAGTAATTCATTCCTAATTTATTCGTATATAAAAAAAAAAGCAATGTGACATTATTCAAATTTATGAATTCTCACGACAAAAAAGTAACAACCGTTTATTTCAAATTTTCAAACATTTAATTTCATTTCATAAAGTCTCCATTTTTCAAGCATCAAATGGATATTGATAATGTATCGCATGATTTTTTAGTTTATGGTGAAAAAAGACATAAAAATTGTCTAACTTTAAAGTATGCCTGATCAATTTTCAAAAAAAAGTTTCATATTTCGATGGAGGCTAATTTTAAATTTTTATTCTACAATGAATAGATGTTTTTTGACCTGGCACTGTCAGATAAGATTGGGGGGGGGGGCTTCATTAATTGGCAGAGAGCGTTCAACATCAAATTTTGAAATCAAGGCGTACAGCATCCTTTTCCCATCGATTTAAAAATGAAACTTTATTTATATTCAAACTTGTTTAGTATAAATCCGCTAATTAAGACGCGTAAAGTGTTATGAGATGAGGCTACACTTGTCGATCAAATTCTCGTGATCTGTTTAGAAAGTCGACCATTCAGCTGCTACTATAGTCAGATTGTTTAGTTGATAGATGCTTAGGAATATTTAACCTTACGAAACTAAAAAATGTACAATGTAACGTAAAATTGACAGAAATTCTGGATTCTTCGGATAATTTTAATTCACCATGCAGACAACTGAGCCTGAAATATTATATTGGCTCAATCAAATTACTGAAGTCAGACTTATGAATGTTCACTGGCTTTGTCTCCATTTCAAACTGAAGTCTATTGAGTGTGTAAAAACTGAAGATAAACAGTTCATCGATTAAAAGAAACTATATTAAAACTTTGAAAAGGGTGTAAACACAGACCACTGGAAATTCCAGAGGGGAATCGATGCCTAGGCATCTTCCCGAGTCAAGAGTTTCTGATCCGTTTATGTGGAGCGGAGCGGATCAAAAACTCTTGACTTGGGAAGATGGTGCCTAGGAGGATTAAACATTCCCTGCCGATCGGTCAGATCCTCAGAGAGTCATATATAAGTATTAATCAGGCAGACGGAACATTCCGTAGTAAAATTCAGAAAACAAGGGCCTAAAATTTATATGAAACAAATCAGCCAAAATACAGTACGACCCAACGATGAGTCATATGCGCTAACGAGGTCATTATAATATTCATGCATCGAATTTGCTAATTTTTTTTTTTAATGAGGTCGTTGAAATTGTTGTAACGTCAACTTATCTGTTTCAAAACTGATCGTACTAGGTCTAAGGATCAATCCCTTGAATATTGATAAAGTTTGGAAATGTAAACTCCATATACTAGTATATGCATTTGATAGCAGGATGATAATGTTGAAATCATCTTGTTTGTCATGCAATTTAGTTGTTAGCACTGTTGTCTCTTATCGTCTAATATCAGTAAAATTGCAAATATAAACCTACCATAGGCGTCGGAACGGGGGATGCTTAGCCTCATTCCACTTTTTTGCAAAGATAAACATTGATTAGGCATTGAACTTTGGGGCGCTGGTTATGCCCCCCCTTTATTTTTAACAGACAGAGTGCACTGTAATCATTAAAAGAAGGGTTAGCGGTAGCGTTTGGAAAAAATGGTTGCAAAATAAGTTTAATTAATCTTAACATCCCCCCCCCCCCGAACCCACTGAAATAGTACTTTCATGGTTGAAAAATTTTCATTTTTTCCTTTTTTTCAGGTTCATTTTTTTTGTTCTTTCCAACTTTCGATATGCTTCTGACGCCAATGCCTGCGGTAGATAGAACGGGTCATGGCCCTGAGAGGATTCCGTATCTATACTTGTAAACAGATCCATTGACCAATGTAATCTGCTAGACAGGTCACAGAGATGAAAAGAAGTTTAGCGTTTCTCGGTCGTTCTCTTTCCACCAGTACACGACACGGGGGGAAATTCAATGAACCACTGTCTGGAAATGAAATGCCCCGATCCGGGGGGATAGCATCTATGATGCGCCTACCTATCCAGAACGATACACAAGGTAAGAGGAGGGTAGACTTAATTTACCTTTCGTAGGTCACGGCGACAGGTACGATAATTCATTATCGCCAACTCAGACGCGCACCTAGCACAATGCAGACTCAGGGGAACAGAATAAGAAGTACCTTAGCTTTTGGGTACAAAATGCTTATATGCTAAGATTAAAATTTACATTTCTTCATACCCGTTAAAATGTTTAACCCCCCCCCCCCCAATCACCATCACAAAAATGAATAAGCTCACTGGCGGATTAAGAGAGGGACCCAAGGGGCCCATCCCTCCCTTTTGTGTCCATAATACAATGTATACATAAAATTTAATAAATCATATTTTTTTGGGGCGTGGCTGTGGAGCCTTTCCCCGACCTCATCCCCTTTCAAGATTTCTGGATCTGCTACTGCAGCTAGATTTATTACACAACATGTCTTTATTATGTTTTATTGCAATCTTTCGTTGCTATAACCTGTGACAATTATCATAAACATAGTTTTTGTTCTATTTCGTTAACATTACAATGAGATAAGGTAGTTTTTGTCTAAAATTTCAGATGTTATATCGTACAGTTTTTGTATATAGAAGTGAAATTTGATTTAAATAATTACTGAGTATATAACCCGATTTCTATAATCATATATATCAATAACAAGTATACTACATCAACAAAATCTGTTCTATTTGATAATATGCATTTGAATTTTAAGAATATTAATTAAACGCACATTGTATCGTTTTTGAGACAGGGAGCAGACGGAGAATAAAGATATACGTTACAATAAAAAAAATAAATTAACAAAATAAAAAAAAAAAAAACGGGGAAATTGTCCAAGCTTAAAAATCCTATTTCCTAAGGGGATGTAAGGGTAAGAAACATAAACCTTTCGACAAGAAAACCGTAATGAATACATTAACATTAGATTTGACTATATATATATATATGCATGAACTATCATAAAATGGAGGGGATCGACCTTAACATTGATTATGATTCGAAAGGGGGGCACCTCCCTTACTACGTGCCTACAACATACAAGTCTTTGTTTTCTATAGGTCTGGGAGCCTGTTTTGTGGGGATACCGATGGACATCGGGACATCAAATAGGTCTGGGACTAGATTAGGTCCAAGACAAATCCGGAGCGAGTCCGCACTCATCCGAAAGGTCAATATCGCCACAGGTACGTACACATGCACTTACATGTAGTAAATTTTATTTTATGTCTGACATCGATTTTACATACAGAGTCCTTGGCTGCAGAATAAAAACATTTCTGCAGTGAATAGATTCCCTAGCATATACATGTATATGTTGATTCGAAAAGAAAAGATATGCTTTATATTAAAGGTCATACGAAACAACGTCCTGAGCATTTTGGGTTGTATACGGAAATAAGTACGAGGGGCGTTCAATAAATAATGTCATCAGGGCTCGGAAAGAAACAAAAATCGCTTTTCTATGATTTTGTCTTAATGATTTAACTAAAATATTCTCTTTTAACTAAAAGACATGTCCGTAACATTTTTATTCAATTTCTAATTGTTTTTAGAACACAGTTTTGAGTATGACCCTTCGTATACTGGAAAACGGTAGATCCTATGATTTGCTGTGCTTGTTTTTTTCTTTCTGAAAGGTGTTTTCCTAAGTTTCGGAAATGAAACAAGTTAAAGATTGAGAGATCTGGCGAATATTGTTGATGTGACAAAACATAAACTTTCTGTTCACCCCAAAACTCCTTAATTCTTCATGGCCTGTGGGTTTGGACGCTGTCATAAAGAAATTTAATGTAGTGAATTCCTCATTCTGTTTCCTTCCTCTCATAAACCTTTCAATTTGTTGGCAAATATTTTGCTTACTAGACTCCTCCAGAAATTGAACTACCTCCCTATGTATGTATTTGAACAAGACCGCTAATATTTAAGAAAATAGCGTATAAAACTGTTTTTGTGTTCTTGCAAATTTTTGCTCTTCTTAGGCCTTTGTAGTTTTGTCAAGGACTTCCTATTCTAAATTTGTTTTGAGGGTTCAACGCAAAATGGATTCAAGTTTCAGGATCTGTTTGAATTTCAGAAAAACGTGGATAAGAATAATTTTTGATTTTTTAAAAATAAGTGTTTAGGTTTTCTACACGCTCTCGTTTTCACTCATATTTATAAATATAGGGTGACATTTGAGTATTAAACTTTTTAACAATCAAATGTTTCTTTAAAACAGTGTGAACTACCCCCGATATGATGTCTATCAAATTTTCTATGCAACTTAAAGTCAATAAAACATAAATCTGTGATAATTTGTTAAATTATCGCTAATATACATTGGTTGTTGTATGTCCTTGTTGACAAGGAGGGTACCCATTTTTGATGACTATTTTATAATTTTTGTTAATTGAAATCCACCCGTTCATGTGTGTATGAAACAAACATAAGTTGCTGTAAATTTCACATATTTCAGTTAATATATTGTTGGGAAATTAATAAGTTTTACAGCAGCTTTAATGACGCGTTCCATTTTACTCTAATTTACTGATTCTTGACCATTCATTTTTAACGCAGTGTCTCGAGTAGCCCTTGTTTTCCAGCTTCCCACAATGAAATTATGCGATGAAAAGTGGTCACATAAACTGTTATCAATTCATTAAAGATTCAATAATTAGAAAAATGCAAGCTTAATGTCATATGAATTCTATGTTGTATGTCATGGAGCTGATGACATTATTTATTGAACGTCCCTCGTATATCTGAGCAATATGGTGGCATATTTCTGCCCCTTGTGTGCAAGTTATTTTTCTATCAAATATGTCGACATGCAAGATAAATATGTTGACATGCAAGATAGTTATGTCAACATGCAACATAAATATGTTGACATGCCAATAATTGCAATCAAATAAGTATTATAAAAAAAATCTTCAAAAATCTCAAATATCGCCCACATGTGACATCCAACATGCTAAATGCTACTTATTTATGTAAACATGCAAGATAAATATGTTGACATGCAACTTATTTATGTCGACATGCAACTTATTTATGTTGACATGCAACTTATTTATGTCGACATGCAACTTGTTTATGTCGACATGCAACTTATTTATGTAAACATGTGACATATTTATGTTGGCATGCAACTTAGTTATGTTTACATGCGAGATAAATATGTTGACTTGCAACTTATTTATGTAAACATGCCACATATCTATGTCGACATGCAACTTATAAGTTGCATGTCAACATATTTATCTCGCATGTCAACATAACCAAGTTGCATGTCGACATGAATAAGTTGCATGTCGACATAAATAAGTTGCATGTTAACATATATAAGTTGCATGTCGACATAAATAAGTTGCATGTTAACATATATAAGTTGCATGTCGACATAAATAAGTTGCATGTCAACATATTCATCTTGCATGTTAACATAAATAAGTAGCATTTAGCATGTTGGATGTCACATGTGGGCGATATTTGAGATTTTTGAAGATTTTTTCATAATACTTATTTGATTGCAATTTTCTTGCATGTCAACATATTTATGTTGCATGTTGACATAACTATCTTGCATGTCAACATATTTATCTTGCATGTCGACATATTTGATAGAAAAATAACTTGCACACAAGGGGCAGAAATATGCCACCATAGAGCAACATTAATCAGCCTGAAATAACATTTTGGATTTTTTACGCAAGTTGGAGGCAATAGAGTTGATCAGAGGTACTTGACTGCGAAGATGAGCTTCAACTAGCGCGGCTTATCTCCCTTTACTTATGACGTCAGTAAGACCCACTCGCTACATTCTGTAATATTTATATAGCCGATCATGTCTTATGCAGCGTAATTTTTAAGAAATATCATTGTCTTGACTAAAACTTTGCATAAATATATGATTTTCAAACCAGATAGTGTTTGTCTTTTAACATCCTGTTGCATGTTTGCAAGATTTTAGCATGTTTTATCCGTGTTATTTATTGTCATCCTTCTACATATCAATATAATTAGAGAGAGACGATGTCCAAAGAGAGCAGAACTTCTGTAAGTTATATATAAATATATATACAGTTACTCGATCGGTAGCACGCGCATATAAGTAAAGCTGGATTTGATCGATTGACAGCGGTGTGTGAAAGTGAAACTAAACCTGCATGTTGATAAATGATTTCATTTATTTGTGGAAAATGAAATGATTCTATCGCTTCCTGGTCTTCTCCTCTCTCAGTTATTCCTTGCTCTTTCTTTGGCTTTCCCTATCTTATTGACTCTTTTTTTTTTTTTACCAAAGTCGGTACATTTACACATAACACTGTGCCTTTTTGAATATCGTATTTAATCTTAAAAAGTCAACCTCGGACTTTAAACGCAAATCTATCTATGTAATCCTACGCACGGACGTTTCTGTGTGTATTTGCAGATCAAATTTTCTTTTGCATCAGTTTATTTTAACAAATATCATACTCTGCTTTTAAAAAAGAATGTTTAACTGTAAAAATATTAATTTTTAAAAGTGTTAGGTTCAGTCTCGCAAACAATGGGCATTGGGGCATGGGTTTCTTTTTAACGGATCATCCTATGCACGCACTGTATAAGTATTTTCAAACTGCAGTTACTCAGTGAAACTGTTAATATAGAAGTATATAACTGCACCGTACTAGTAACATTACAGTACATGTATATTAACGTGCATACTCGTGATGCTGGTAAGTTTTTAAAATCACTTTTCTTGTGACAGCAAAATTACGATGATGTCGTCATGACCCTATTTCTGTAGGCCTATATCATTTTCATTAGTTCTCGTGTTTCAGAATGCAGAAGCGTGCATTCAAATACGCCGACTTTTTAAATAATTTATCGATCCACGTTTATCATGAAGTTCAATATCCCCGTGTTTATTTAGGGAAAAAGGGGGGGGGGGATTACATCATGTATCATATACGTATAAAAAACAAGAAGATTGTTGTTTCTAAGGTGTTAATTTGAAATAAGTAATCTTGGTTGGGGTGAAAAATCTTGATTTCAACGGGGTTTTCATCAGGATCATCTTACTATGAAAAGCTCTCGTTTTCAGTTGCTGTGCCTAAATTAACGAAAAGTTCAAATAAAGTGAACTGTTCCTTAGAATCAGGTAGCTCATCGAAAAACATAATCACATTTATATCAACAAAAACGACTAAAATTAACTCAACAAGAGGCCCAGGGGCCACAGCGCTCACCTGAGCACGTACATCAGCTAGGAAAAAAAAACATATCAGATCAGAACTGAAAGTTAATTTAAGTTGGGGGGGGGTTGAATTTTAACCCCCAAGAGGATCATAATTTAAACGAACTAGAATCTACATTACCTGAGGATGATTCCATACAAATATTACTAATCCTGGCTTTGAAGTACTTGAAAAGAAGATTTAAAAAGGTTTCCCTATATATTTCTATGCAAAACTTTGGTCGGCCATTTTGGCCACACCCTTACCCCGGGGTCATGACTTGAACAAACTTGAATCTACACTACCTGAGGATAATTTCACATGAGTTTCATCTTTCCTGTTTCAATGGTTCTCGAGAAGAAGATTTTTAAAGATTTTTCCTATATATTCCTATGTAAAACCTTGATCGGCCATTTTGGCCCCGCCCTACCCCCGGGGGTCATGACTTGAACAAACTTGAATCTACACTACCTGAGGATGATACCACATGAGTTTCATTTTTCCTGGCCCAGTGGTTCTTGAGAAGAAGATTTTTAAAGATTTTTCCTATATATTCCTATGTAAAACTTTGATCGGCCATTTTGGCCCCGCCCTACCCCCGGGGGTCATGACTTGAACAAACTTGAATCTACTCTACCTGAGGATGATTCCACATGAATTTCATCTTTCCTGGCCCAGTGGTTCTTGAGAAGAAGATTTTTAAAGATTTTTCCTATATATTCCTATGTAAAACTTTGATCGGCCATTTTGGCCCCGCCCTACCCCCGGGGGTCATGACTTGAACAAACTTGAATCTACTCTACCTGAGGATGATTCCACCTGAGTTTCATTTTTCCTGGCCCAGTGGTTCTTGACAAGAGATTTTTTTAGAATTTACCTAGATATTACAATGGAAAACAAAGATCGTCCATATTGGCCCCCGCCTAACCCCGGGGGTCATGACTTGAACAAACTTGAATCCACACTACCTGAGGATGATTCCACATGAGTTTCATTTTTCCTGGCCCAGTGGTTCTTGAGAAGAAGATTTTTAAAGATTTTTCCTATATATTCCTATGTAAAACTTTGATCGGCTATTTTGGCCCCGCCCTACCCCCGGGGGTCATGACTTGAACAAACTTGAATCTACTCTACCTGAGGATGATTCCACATGAGTTTCATCTTTCCTGGCCCAGTGGCTCTTGAGGAGAAGATTTTTTAAAAATGCCAATAATTTTTCTCTAAATCATGATTATCTCCCCTTGGAAAAGGGCGTGGCCCTTCATTTGAACAAACTTGAATCCCCTTCACCCAAGGATACTTTGTGTCAAGTTTGGTTGAAATTGGCCCAGTGGTTCTTGAGAAGATGATGAAAATGTGAAAAGTTTACGACAACGACAACGACGACAGACGACGGACAAATTTTGATCAGAAAAGCTCACTTGAGCCTTCGGCTCAGGTGAGCTAATAAAATACAGTAAAATTACACTAGATCTAATGCGTTGTTAACATCAGTGGGTCTTTGTGACGTCATACAAACACAAAATCATGAACGATAAGCAAGTAACAAATTTATCAAGTGGACAAGTTTAGGCCTTCATTTTTCTGTTAAACAAAAGCAAATTTTTTTTACCAAACGTAATTTAACATTCTTTTATACCAGTCTTTATGTTTAATAAGTAAAATCTAAGCGTAATGAATTGTTTCGTATGACCTTTAAAAACTGAAAGAGGTGTTAAAGAAATTAAAGTTTATTGAGTTTTTACTTTCCCAATAGGAGCCTCGCCTTTCGACTCCTTCCAAGTGGCTGATGTGGGTGACGTGAACTTTAACCTTTACCATCTCCCCAAGGCCTGCGAGGACATCCGTGATCATTACCGGAAGTTGATCAGTACTGGGTGTGTTCCTCTGACGATGGGGGGAGACCATACCATCAGTTACCCGATACTCCAGGCCCTGAAGGTTAGAGGGAGGGGCTAATTATTAAAACACAAGTTAAGTTTGTCTGGGAAAAATAAAGCGGGGTACAAAGAATACCTTGCATCAATTTTCAGTGGAATTTTCTTTCAGAAAACATACTCTGCCACCGTCGCCCGGAAAGATTTTGAGATATGTGATTTTTCAAAGCAGTTTACACAACATGTCCAAAAATTAAAGTGGGCGACGGTAGCAGACTCTATTTTCTAAACGAAAATTAGAGGAGTAATGTGTCATTTTGAAGCTTTTCTGCATTAAACTTAGAAATGTACCAAATTAATGACGTCATGTTTCCAGAAAGGTCCTCCTTCATGCCATATTCTTTAATAATTTATCATATTCATCTACTCAACTATTGTTGAGGCCAATTTTATAACTTTTTAAGGACATAAAATTTTTAGGGCGCAATAAAGCTCAAACCGTACCTTCTGAATCTACCCCTTTTTTTCACCCCCACTCAGGGTTCTGAAGTATCAAAGTTCTGTTAAAAGATTTTAAGTTTCATTTCAGCAACTTACAATTACGATATTTTTTTTTTCATTTTCAGTAATGCGATTATAGTGTTATGGTACCTGAGTATTAAAACTATGTTAATTTATGAATGACTTGAAACAAATACACATTTCGACACCAGTAGGTGCAGGGGGTAGGGTAGGGAATCAAAGTTTTACATAGGTACACCTACTGGGCTACTATGGTATAAATTTCCTATACATTACAGGAGAGGTACGGGCCCGTGGGTATGGTACACGTGGACGCTCACTCAGACACCAGCGACACGATGCTGGGGGAGAAGATCGCGCACGGGACACCCTTCCGTCGGGCGGTGGAGGACGGATGTTTGGACCCCAACAGAGTGATCCAGATTGGCTTACGGGGATCAAATTATTCAGTGGAAGACTATGACTGGGCCAAAAGTCAGGTAAAGATCGCAAAAAGGCCGGGGGTGGGGGGGGGGGGGGGGTAACAGTTTCCATAATCACAAAAACTCTTATACTTAGAATCTATAATTACTTTCAAGATATGTTGCGATGTTTATGCTTGGTCAGTTGTAGTTTTCTATCCTACATATTTAGGGATTTCGGATAGTGACAGCACAGGATTGCTGGCACAAGTCCCTGGCCCCCCTTATGAAGGAGGTTCACGAGATGATGGGTGATAAACCAGTCTACATTTCATTTGACATTGACGGACTTGACCCCGCATTTGCTCCTGGAACAGGTAAATTATTTTGTATGCTAGACTACGCAGTAAGCGAAAACTTGGGTAATTATTTTGTATCCTAGACTACGTAGTAAGCGAAAACTTGGGTACAATTTCACATTTGTATTTTAACTGGTACGAATAATTAAGATTTGATTGTCAGGTACCCCCGAGATAGGAGGACTGACCTCTATACAGGGACTGGAAATTGTCCGGGGCTGCAGGGGACTGAATGTCATCGGGGGAGATCTCGTAGAGGTAAGTCAGGAACAGGTGCGATGAAATTACCAAGTATTTCATAGCTACAAATACAGCACAAAAAATGCCGGGCGTTTCATATATAATCTTACTAGAAAATTCTAGCATTGTTAATTATATAATTGTTGATGAGACATTTGGAAAAAAGGATTAGAAATCACAAGATGATGATCATAACGCAGTATTTGTATGCATTATGAAGAGATTCTGATATATTTGTATTAATTTGTTGTTGTGCAGGTGTCCCCTCCCTACGATATGAACGGCACCACGGCGTTGACGGGGGCTAACCTTCTGTTTGAGATGTTGTGTGTCCTCCCGGGTGTCAAGTACCTCCGATAGTGAGACGTACCGAGCAGTGCCCTCCCTACAACTGTCTCAGAAAGAACAGCAATATAGACCGTGTAACGGGAATACTGTACATAATAATCAGAGCGCTTATATCATGTTTTATAGGAATAAAGTTATTGTTTGATTGTTATAATACAAATGAGAAATAGTTCTTACTGAAGGATTCTGATTGAAGAATTCAAAAAAAAAAAAATAAAAAATAAAAATGAAACTAACCACAGGCACCAAACTCGCTTGAATTTTTTTTTGTGCCTGTGCTATGAGTACTGAGCTCATGAAATGCTATGTATCCCCGCTTCCTATTCATATATGATTATAATTTCAAATTCAAATTCCATGTTTTGCGCCGCGCTGGGAGACGCGAAATAAGTGTCAGATCAAAAAGTAAAATAGGAGGAGCACAAAGGCATTATGTATCAAAGATTCTCTGAAAGTCTCATTATAATTCTTTAGTGGTTGAAGAGGAATTGCGGATAAGAGATGGATAACCCAAAACGTAAAAGAAAGACATACAAATAGACGGATCTCCTGATCACTTTTCAAGCAAGGGGAGAGAGAGAGGGGGGGGGGGGGGTAATAAAAGATTATACAAGCATGTGTAATATCAGGTAATTAACAAAACAAGTGAATGCCCTGTCACACCTCTAATCTGTTTTTTTTTTAATTCTGGCTTAAAATTGATGTCATGCAAGAGGACCACTTGGTTTGCAGTCTCCATAGCAGCCATATTGCCGAGTTTATTTATAAATAAAATATGTCAGAAAGGACACAAGTTTGGTGCAGTTTCTGCTTTCTCCAGTCGGACTTTTTGTGCACGCCACACATCTATATTTTTACTTAAATAGAAAATCGCAATTATAATTGTTTTGATTTACTATAAAATGTAGATAAATAACATCTCTTTCAAATGACGACACACTGTCAATGAATTTTAGGATCAGGTGCCTTGAGTCTCCCGTGTTGATGCAACCTTCCACGATATGATGGGGTCTCCCTCAGCTGCAGAACTGTAGCTTAATGGTTTTATATAGAAGTCTTTGAAACGACTATAAAGGATTAGGAGGTGGACAAAATATAGAATAATATGTCAAGAAAATGGTTTGAAAGGTAGTTGATTGAACGATGAAGTGGGGAGGGTTGGTATTAAAATCGAACCTCTAACTTCTCAAAAGAGAACACCACAAAACGAGAGGCTTTATGGATCAACTGTACCTAAACAGACCTTTTAATTTTGTAATACTGTAGTATAATACCGCATTCTATAATGAACTAGCTTTATGAAACTAAATCACCTTAAAACAAGATGTGTTTGTGAAACACTGATGTCCCCGTATAGGAACATAGCGAGGGTTAAGCTTTATTTTGAATGCAGATCAAATATGCTGGTACCTAAAGTAAGGCCTTTTCACAAGAAATACAAATGTGAAATGTCAAGGTCAAAGGTTCAAGGTTGTTGGTTTCTATAAAGAAAGGCATTGTATCAAAGCTTATCAAAGCTTACATATGCAAGTATGAAAGTACTAGCCCTTACCGTTCAAAAGTTATGGAAAAAGTTAGTTTGTAAAAAGTAGGTCGAACTCCAAGGTCAAGGGGTCAAGGTTCTTGATATCAAATGAAAGGTCTTGTCACAAGGATTAAAGATGTGAGGTATGAAAGCCCTCGTCGTAACCCTTCAAAATTATGGCCATTATTGTCTTTTAAGAGTAGGTCAAACTCCAAGGTCAAGGTCAAAGTGTCAAAATTATTGGTATCCAATGAAAGGTCTTTTCACACGAATTACTTTTGTGAAGTATGAAAGCCCTAGCCCTTACCATTTAAAAGTTATGGCCAAGGTTAAAGTTTTTACATAGGTACGGAGATCTCCAAGGTCAAGATCAAAAGGTCAAGGTTGTTGGTACTTATTGAAAGGTCTTGGCACTAAAAATATATACATGAAGTATGAAAATCCTGGTGTCAACTGTTTCAAAGAGATGGCCAAAGTAAAAGTATGGAATTTTTGTGTAAAAGTAGGTCAAACTACAAGGTCAATGTCAAAAAGTCAAATTTGGGGTACCTAATGAAAGGTCTTCTCACAAGAAATACACAAGTGAAATATAAAAATTATAGCTCCACTAAATCAAAAGTTATGGGCAAGGTTAAAGTTTTTGCGGACAAACAGACATAGAGACATCTACACAGACAGACGGACGGACACAACAAAAACTATATACCTCGAAACTTCGTTTACGGAGGCATAAAAATATTTTTTTAAGTTAAATCCATGAAGATTTAAGCAGTTGGATACTACTGGCATTTGATAGGGATACGATTTCCATATATAATTATGAACACTTTAGCTACCTACATTTGATAGAGATACGATTTCTACATTTAATTATAAACATCCTTTTATATATTTGCTCTTATATTTACCTGTTTTTTTTATGCCTCCACAATCGGGGATATATAATAGTTTTTGTCCCGTCCATCCGTGTGTCTGTCTGTTTGTTTATTTGTCAACAAAAACTTGAACGTTCCCCACATTTTTGAATGAGTTGGGCTATGGCTTTCATATTTCACAGGTGTTTCCCTTGTCACAAGACCTTTCTTTGGGTACCATCAAAATTGACCTCTTGACCTAGGAATGTGACCCACCTTTACAAAAATATCAAACTTTAACCTTAGCCATATCTAGACTTTTGAAAAGTTGGCACTAAGGGTTTTCCCACTTATGTGTGTATTTATTGTGACAAGACCTTTCAATTGGTATAAATATTGTTGACCTTTTGATCTTGACTTTTGACTTTTATTTGCATTTGAAAAACTTCAATATTTGCCATAAACCAAATGCAATAAGCTGCCATAAGCAATTACGAATAAAAAAAAATAATCTAAAACTATATAACTCTAAAACATATATACTTCATTTACAGTATAGGAAGTTCTTTTTTCTATCTTATTTATTCTGAATTCTGGGATATCCCTTTACTCAACACGTCTAGCATATAATCATAAAATGCCAACGTAATCTATAGCTACCACAAACCATCCCTGGGAATTGATAAAACATTATATAATTTGTCTGTTTAAACAGAAGTTTTAAGCAAATAATAGAGTCAGTTATTTGTCCAAAGGTTTGGTGCTACATGTAACTGCAAATTAACGCCGTTGATGCAGCAAGGTATGTACTATTTTTTGATGGACGTAGCAAACTAGGTGGTTTAAAATGTAAACTCAAATAATTAAAGTTACACAATTTTAAATTTCCGGTCATAAAAAGATAAAGACATGGAACTTCAACGGCGCAATATCAACTTTATCGGTGGCGTATTGTAATCTTAGATCCGCGCTTTTAAATTTAAATTCCAATTACATTTACAAAGCGTGTCTATCTGACTCTATCAGTGGGAATTGCTTTTTTGACAGGTGGAATTGAAAAAAGGTGTGTGATTTCCATGTGATGGGCTTTCTGTGAAATTCATTCTTTTATACATGTGATGAACTACCATTCAAAACAGATGAATTATTAATGTAAGTGTTTAAAACACGCACCATTTTTTGAATGTTAAAAATAACCTATGATTAAAAGTACAAAATTTTATGGTAAAAATATATATGGGGACAAAATATTTTATATTGACCTACTTAATTTAAAAACACTGCCTGGGAGGATATGTACATCAAGGAAGAATGTAAGGAATTTTTGTCAATGGTTCGTGGAGCGGATACATAGTGGCTTTGTATGTATATTTTTAAAGGAATTGGACATTGTTTTCTTAATTCTATAGAAGTAGACAAAAAAAAAAAAAAAATTGAAAAAAGTTTGAGCAAGCATTCAGGATCTGGGCTTGAGGTCATTGACCGAGATCTGGTAAGTCTCACACATCAGTAAATATTTAGCAATGAACTAAGGGCAAGTGGATCTGGTAGGAAGAATCTCTCTCTCTCTCTCAGTATGTGTCTCTATATGTGCAAGGCATACAAAGGTAAATTCGTCATGTTCTAGAATGCATGGGACAATACCTAACTCACTGTGTAGAATGCAAGGTTATAACCTATATTAACAGGCTTAGATTTAAACCTGACTTATATACTCCGAAGTTTCTCATTAATTAAGTTCAAATCTGGGTTATCTTCATTCTTTAATGATAATTGCTTATAAATGTGAGGTGTCTGAGATAAAAAAAGAAGAAGTTTTGGGGTTCAATTTTTTGTAACATGAACATAATGTGATCATGAGAATGCTACCATAGCCAAATTGAGATTTTCTCTATAGTTGAGCAAAATTGAGAAGTGGCATAATTTACATAAATGAAATTCTATTTTTTATAAAACTTACGGGGTTCTTACAAAAATCATTTTCCGACCAGAGGCAGTTTATTTTTAATTGAATTAATATTTTTTCTTTTTCTTGGATCACATATTACAGCTCATGCATGAGAGAGTGCCCCCTTTTCAATGTTATATCTTTAAATGTTGGCAAGAATTACGGGAAAAAAGTATAAATCTTTCAATTTTGTTTTCTCTCCAACCAAATGACTCATCAAAAATGTAGAGTTTAACAAATTTTCTATTTCGCTTTAACTTTCAAAATTTACATTTCAGTGTACAAGTTCACACAGGCCAGACGCGTAATATGATACTAGTATGTCAATTCACTCCAGTCTATTAACATTTAAAATATTCCATCAAAAATGTACAAACCAAAGATGTAAGGGTAATGGGGTATTGAAATCGATTGTTATATATAATAGATACTGGGTATGCGAACAGTTCGCAATGACTGTAGCGTTATATGGTGTTATGATGGAAGACTATAAACACTACAGGTTCTGCAGCTAGCATAGCTGCAGGTCTGTAGCGTTATGGTTTTATATATTTGTCTTTGACCATAACGCTACAGATCCCGTAATGCAAAAAAGGTGCAATTTACGGCGCAATATTTTTTGCGCACTTTTGGGGAGAATTTCTCCACTTTCTAGCATTGGCCAATCAACTACTTTTCACTCCCTAATGCTAGACAATTATATATGTAGCCAATATGTATATTTTATCCACCTCCCACCCTCTACAGGCAATAAACTCGCTTGAAGTGAATTTTCAGCAATCTAACAAATAATTTTAATCAAGCGAGTTTATCGATTGTAGAGACGAATATAAAGGGTTGGGAGATGGATAAAATATACAGATAGTTAAATAATGTGCCTAGAATTAGAGAGTGAAAGGTAGTTAATTGACCAACGCTGGAAAGAGGAGAAATTCTCCCCAAAAGTGCGCATAAATTATTGTGCCGTAAATTGCACCTTTTTTGCATTACGGGATCTGTTGCGTTATGGTCAAAGACGCTGTATTTGAATTATATCAAACGTATCAATCCGCCTGACGTTACATTCAAATTTCGAACAAGTTGAAGTCACTTTATTAGAACGTTGCGTATAAACCGCTTCGCGGTTTATAAAGCGACAACCCATTATAACGCTACAAATCTGCAGCTACAGCTAGCAATGCACGTTCACTGCAAGAGAAAGGAATTTCTAATATACTTTTGTAAGTTTTGTGAAATCTGTTATATTGTCTAAGATTCTGGGGCATATAGGGCATAGGCGTCGGAACCGCGGAGGAGGGTGCTTTTTTGCAAATATATACATAATATGATAATATGGCATTGAAATTGGGGGGGGGGGTACCTTTTTTGTTGGTTTAGCCCCCCTTTTAATTAGCCCCCACTTTCAATTTGCTTCCGGTGCCTATGTAGGATACCCAAATATTTCCGTTCACCTTAATAATTAGAGTTTGACATACTTTTGCTAAAGAAGATGGGGATAGGGTGGAAGATTAGTGTTCACGACAAACATGAAGTGAAAAATTAACAAATCTCCTCGGGTTATCTCCCTATGTTCTTTGATATTTCATTCAAGTAAAATCACTCAAAAAAGATCATTTTTTCATACTTGAACAATTTTTTTCAATATGAGTTGGTCTTTGCTGCATTTCTTTGAAATATAATACTAAAAGTTTCCAATAAAATAGTCATTTTTTGGTTTACAAAAACATTGAACAAAGACCCACTATACTAACTGTATACCTTAAAAGTACACGTGCACTTTTATAACAAAGAAAACATACACATCTTTCCGAAAAATACCAAGGGTCTATAGTGGTTAGCGCGTTAGTCGGATTTTTTAATATTGCAAGAGTTCGAATCCCACGAATACAATCTTCTTTTCTAATAAAAGAATAATTTTCCGAGATTTTTTTCTTTAATTAGAAAAGGCTTGTTCCTCATAATTTCATAAAATTCAATAATGAGAACTTAATTTAAATACTGAATTCACAAACTAAATTATGCCAATATTAATACATGTATATTCCGAAGCTATAGGCATTCAGACGCCTTGCAAGTTCCCATCTTCTTTTAATTACAGCCGGAAACGATACCGGATTCACTTCAAATGGTATTTATTTGTTTACCATTAGAATTTCCTCGGGAACAATGGGCGCATGTGTACATTACTTTAAACATATTTTATTGAATATAATTCAATCAGGATTGGGCAACAGGCAATGCCTATGTAAGCCCTCTCCTTTTATAATTGGTCAAGATACAAATTAGAAGTAAATAATACATGAACATGATAATCAATAAAATTATAATGAAAAATAAAGATTCACAATCAAGTATTATTTATCAATAATATATCTAAAAAAAAAATGACAACCCCCTAACTGTATGCATATTATTTACATACTGTTCCAGCTTAAAAATAATACAAATATTTGAAGAAGAAAAAAAAATTATGCATTTAATAGAATATCTAATATGACAATAGAATATCTAATATGACTGTGTACATTGCCCTTGTGATTAAACCATCAAGATTTGTGCAGAATATCTTTTGATAGACATAAAGATTTTAGTCACTGATTAAGTATACAAGTTATAGGTGCTCATTTCATACGGTAGTTTACAACTATACGATAACATTATTTTTCGAGTGTGACTAAAATGGGTAGCGAAACCCGGGCCGGGCCGGGAATTTCGAAACTCAAAACCGGGTTTTTGATAATTATGAAATAAATACTCATTCTTTCTTCATGAAATTAACAGACATAGTTTATAACCATATGTTTTGCCTTCGCTGAGAGTTTTAACTCAAAATGTTATGTTTTTCAATGATTATCGCCGATTGTCCTTTTCCAGGTGACTAAAATGGGTAGCGAGCCCGGTTTACTCATTTTGGCGATTTAAACTTAATATCGGCAGCATATTTACATTTTTTTCATTTGGGTCTTTGAAATTGAACTTAAACTACCCAAAACGTCTAACTGTTTCGGTAATGAATCCCAATTATTAAGAATATATGCATTTTTTGAATACCCGGGATTGGTCAAAACCGGAAGCGTTCACCCGGGACGAACTTTTTATTTCCGGAATACTTACCAGAGGATGTTAGCTATCACTTTCGTGACATTGCCCAGCCCAAACCACGCGGAGGTATCCCCATTTGAGCCTAATGTATACCCACCCCCATCCTAGCTCCTTTTGTAATATACAATATCTATGCATGCAAACATAATTTAATTAATGTTTTAATTTTTTTTTAACTTAAAACATAAACCGTTCTTATTGTATAAAATACAACACCCTACCAGGGTCCAGACTCGGTTTATATTTCATCTGACTATCAATCAAACTTCTAAACTCTAAAGCACTAAGATTTTATGCAATACTAATTAAAAAATAAGTATAAAAAGAAAAGACAAGTTTTAATGCTTTTATTTCATTTTAATGTTATAAGCACTATATTTACATAGTTACATGCAAACCGTTCTTATTGTATTTCTACAACGCCCTACCAGGGCACAGACTCGGTTTACAATTGTCAAGTTATATAAAAAAAGCACTATGATATTCCCATTAAAAACAAAAACAACACAATTCATTTTTCAATTCATTTTTATTTATTCAGTTAGCACAAGATGGGCAAATGAAGATGAGGCTCTCTTTTGGATCCTGGATTCCAACACAGCGGAGATGATACCATTGTCCACACGATGGATTTTCACAGACAATCATGTCATCATACACATTTGGAAGGCTACACCGGGCTGCACAGTCTATACTGATCTTCTGAATGTTTTCTCGCTTCTTTGTCAAACTCAGGCGTTTCTTCTGCTTTTGCTTTTTAGGGAATGGTTCAAATTTTTTTTCTTCCAGACATTTTATCAAATGATCCCTCATTTTCTCCGTGTCAAACTGTATTGGCTGGTCTTTGATGTCTTCTGCAATGCAAAAATCTGTTAGATTTGCAATCGCAAACACACCACAGTCAACACCATTTGTTTGTTGTTGGACCTCCAAGATGGACACATTCAAATTAGTTTTTTCCCTTCCATACATCTTCCCGATCTGTAGCTGTGTTGATTGTGATATGTAATCTCTTTTTTTATTGCAGCTATCCAAAATCAAAACTTTGTCGGTATCCTTCATTTGTAGACTAGCAATCCAGTGTTGATGACCAGTATGGTGGATCTGAGCTACAGGGGCTTTCTCCGGTGACATCTGTAGTTTGTACTCCCAATTTCCTTCCTTTATTACTGGTGCATATCCAGTGTGTTGAAATCCATTTATCTGTGGAAACTGTTCCTTCAAGATGGTTTGAGCAAAGTTAATTACATCACTACACAGCATGGCATTGTTCTGGATGTCATTTTTGTGTTTGATGGTAAGAATGTGTTTGCCATTTTCAGTCCAATTTTCCGCACCTGGATTTTCACTCTCTTCAATGTATGTCTTTTCCTTTACCTTGTCTTGGAAATTCTCGTCCTCAAATTTTATGCGTTTTCTGGCAGTTGGTTTGCAGTCATTTCTTTTCCTTTTTAGAATTGAAGCTGTGTCATGTCCATCTATTTTTTCACACACTGGTGTTAAAGTTGCCACTGGCGAAGGCAAAATATCATCCGTCCATTCTTCTGTTCTCTTGATGCAGGAATCTGGTGCAGCAATGACTGTTACCTCTTTGTCGCATGGTCTTGGTTTTTTGGTGCCTGCTTTTTTGTTTACCCTTTTCCTGTTGTTTCTCCGCAGCTGTGTCAAATTGTATATGCGTTTTTCCTCAACATTTTCCTCTCCGATACTCATTTTCACTGCCATGATGTGGTAACATGTGCCGACGGAGGGACATTGGCATTTTTCTGGAAATAAAGAAACGCTATAATTATCCCCATTAGAACCTTTCACAACAAATGATCCTGCTTCTGGAACGTGGAATACCCTTTTGTCTTTCACAGCAGCCATTGCCAGGGATCTTTGGGTCGTACTCTGTTGCTCTTTCTCGTCAATAATAGTGGCATTGTTTGGCACCTCTTGTTCTTTCTCTTCTTCAACTTCCTTAGCTTTCTCTTCCAACTTTCCTTTCACTAGGTCTACAATTTTCTCTGGGGCGCATACATCATTTGGGAAGGCTAGATCACACTTATCAACGGCAGCACCTGAGTGAATGTTTTTGAGCCTGTAATTTCCTATACTACAAAGTCCTCTCATTGTCTCGTATACATAAAACTTCTGTAGATAATTAAAGGCCAGTACTGTAGCATCTAATGGAGCTTGTTTCCACTGCATCATCCTCTTAATGACTGCATTCATGCTTTCTGACATGTTGTTGGTCACACCGGAATAAGGGTCGTAAACCTTGTGTTCTTCCAAAACCCATTTTGAGGAATGCTGAATTATGTCCTTGTGTAGTTTCCCATTGTAATATTCTAGGAACGGTTTACTCCAGAACTGTGATACTTCCTCTAACTTTTCATTGTAGTCATCTTCATTTTCATGAAGCAGTTCCCTCAAATTGCTGACATAGACAAGTTGGTCGTCTATTTTGCCACCATGTTGTTTGATCCAGTGTTTAGCATCACTGTGTATATGGTTCCAGCAGTGGATTAATGCTGCATTTGGGGTTACTTTCTTAATTGCATTTACAACTGCCTTCTCCCTATCAGTCACAATGACAGTTGATGCCCTATTGATGTTTGGCACAAGTGTGGCAATTTTTCTCCAAAAGTCGTGGTGTATTTCCTCCGATTTCCTGTCGTGAATGTAGAAGGCCACTGGAATGGATGGGTTGCTCTGAAATAAAACGTGTTTGAAAACTAATACTGACACATAGAAATCCCCAATAAGGAAGGTAGTGTCATATGACAAAAGTGGAACCTCGTCTGATTTGACTTGAAGAACTTTATTTAAGTCTTGCAGGAGATCTTTGTTGGCTACAAAGCATTGCAAATCAGGAAAAATTGAAAAATGATGCACGAAATCATCCAGATGGTATGCCAGTTGTAGTGTGTTATAAATTTCATCATGAGATAACCTTCTGGCCTTGTTCATATTCGTCTGCATATTCCTAATCTGCTTGGCATTTCTAGGATTTAGTACACCTTGGTACTCTCCACTAACGGTGTTCTCTAAAAGCATGCTTCTGTACACCTCCTGTGGTTTGTTCTGAACAGATTTCTCCTTTATCTGTGACAATACAGAAGGCAACGTTGACACAAAGTCTCCTGTTTGTGATTTTTGATTCCCATGGGGTCTTGGCACATATGTAGTTTCATCCCCAGTGTAAACTAAAGAAGAATTCAACCAGCTTGAAAGATGCTCTCTGGAACTCAGCTGAGCCATTTTTGTCCCCAGGCATGCTACTTATGTTGTAGTATTTCTTCCACATTATTTTGTCCTTCCTTGGATAACCATCTCCTCCTTTGTTAACCCACTGATATCCGTCATGAGACCAGTCATTTATTTTTCTGTCATCTCCCTCACTAGATATAAGATAAATCTCGCCTGCCTTTGGTCGTACTGGGGGGATTTTTGAGATTAATTCTTGATCATAATAGGTCGGTAATTATTCAGCACAATGCATGTCTCACCACACACAATAGAAAGGACAGTTACCCAAACAATGGAATTACATGTTTTGCTCTAAATTGTCCAGACGCAGCAATGTATAAACAGTAAAACTTTCTCTGCTTTGGACTATTTTTTAAAACCTCCTTAGTATAAATATTAATAGTAATTTGATTGTGATTTTTTGTCTCTTTTTAATGAAAAGAAAAATTTTGAAAAGTTGCATTGAAATAGCTAAATAAAGCTACCTAAGGTAGGTAAATAAAGCTATATAGGTAATTCTACATATGTAGCTAAATCTAGTGATTGTACTGGACCTGTATAATGTAGCAGCTGATTCTTATTTATTTTTGTTATAGATTTAGCCACAGTAGCTATGCCTTTATAGCTATCAGCTAATATAATATCAAAGAAACGTAACCATGTCAAAACTTCCAATTGACAGAGGCTGGGCCTTTGTCGTGGTCGTAGGTTTGTAAAAAAAATATACCTGTTTTATGACATTTTATAAGTATAGTAAATTTGAATTCGTTGGGTATAATTTATTATTTAGTTGGTCTTTCACAGACAAAGATACAAGTGTATGTTTCATTTTATTTGTCACAATGATTTTTCTTATTTATTGATCAGTACAAAGGTTTTAGTTTAAATTAAAGCAACAAGAAATTGATATTAGTAACAGTTTTTAAGCAATCAATGTTAAGGAAGTTATAAAAATTTTGATGCAAATATTAGGCCTATTTTAAATTTTGAGTTTTAGATATATCACTCTCACATGTGATGTTTTGTGTTGTAGGCTTTTTTACTTCATCGTTCATCATGGTAGGAACTGCTAAATCCTACGGGATAATTATGGTTGAGCTTATCAAAAAATTCAGCATCGACAAGGCAACAGGTGCCCTAGTTATGGGGATCTCAGGAGTAGTGTATACCATCTTAGGTGAGTTGTAATATCTCTGATAAAGTTACTAATATAGTGACTGTATCCTTATAGAAAAGCCAGGATGTCATTATCAGACAATCTAATGATCCATAAAATCATGATTTAATTTCTTCTCCCAGCACCCTTTTGTGTGGCTTTCGGGGAACATTTCACGCAGAGGAAGGTGGTAATCCTGGGCAGTCTGGTGGGCTTTGTTATGATTGCTGTGGCCTCTCTCCTGGTCAACATCGAGTTCTTCATCTTTTTCTATGGTGTAGGCACAGGTAAATCTAAGAACTATTTGCTTTGCTGTTGCTTTAGTTGTATAATTGTCAGGAAAGGTCATCTAAGGTGTAAGCACACTAAGGTAAATCTTACAACAAGGTCTGCTATGGGAAAGCTTAGGAACTTGAGTATTAAGGTCATCTATGCTTTAGGCACATAAATCTGGCAAGAAGATATTTGACCAAAAAATGTTGAATAAGTGACTCATGTGACTGTATATAGTAATTTTATAGTAGATCTATTCTATGGACACCTCCTCAATATTCTTAAAGCCCTTGATGCTGTTAGGAAAAGATAAGGTACATGTGTCTGAATGTCAGATAAAAATATTTAATTTAATTACTTAGATATTGTCTAGTAGGCTTTAGGTAAAATTTAAATTAGGCCTCTATGAGATATTGCAAATTTAAAAAAATACTATTTAAATATAGGAGAATGATTGTCACTAGTAAAAATCAAGAAAAAAATCATCTCCTGATGTAGAATCAGGTATTACGTTATTTGTAACATGTATAACGCTATACAATTCACCTTTGTTTTGTAGGACTGGCCAATGCTTGTTTCTTTGGAAATGGTCTGGTCATGGTAGGGATGTACTTCAAGAGGTGGCGCTCACTGGCGACAGGAATAGCTTTGACAGGTGCCAGTGTGGGTACCTTTGTTTTACCGATTCTTCTTGAGGCACTATTGGAGACATACTCACTATCTGGTGCTATACTGGTTGTGTCGGCCATTTATCTCAATGGTTGTATCTGTGGTGCTCTTTATCGGCCTTTGTCGTTTTACATCAAAAAAAGTACGTCAGATCAAGAGAAACTGCCCATAGTAACGAAAGAACCGGAACCTAATGGACTTAATGAGACAGGAACAGAGAAAATTCAGACTGAAAAAGTTAAGGTGGAAGATGAACAGGACGAGGACGAAGGAGTGAAGAAAGGTCTTCTAGAAGAAAGTCAGATAGAGGAGAGTAAAACTGAACAAGTCAGTCAACCACAAAGTCCCCCAGCCAAACCTGTCTGGACTTTTCACATCTGTGGACGAACGGTGGAATTCCCAGTGATATTTCACTTCGGGGTGCTTGCATTACCTGTGGTAGTGTTTTTTACTGTGTTCAGTTTTCTAGTGTTCGTTGGATATTTTAACTTTGTCTTATTTTTACCGATAGATGCAATGGAACGTGGAATTACTCATTATGAGAAGGCTGCTCTGGTCTCCTATACTGGGGCTGGAGACCTGTTGGGTCGAATCTTAGTAGGAGTTATGGGTGACTTAACAGTAATCAAGCGATATAAAATCCTAGCCACATGCTCCATACTGTGTGGGGTGAATATTATCCTGTTTGAGATTGCTGGCTCAGTTTACTGGTGGATGTCCCTACATGCCTCTCTGTATGGGTTCTTTGGAGGATGCTTTGTGGCTATAAATAGCATTGTCCTCATTGACATGGTGGGGCTGGAGATGATGCCTAAGGCCTTGGGTGTAGTTCTGTTGATCCAGGGACTGGGGGCTGCTATTGGTCAGCCGATAGAAGGTATATTCTCATCATCACATACACCGAGTATTCACCGCTTTTTATTTTTCAGTAAAATCTTTTTTGGCAAGTAGCTATATGGATGGTTGTTTTGGCAACCTGAACATTTCAGCCTTTCATTTTTTAGTAACTATGGTTTGATTTCTTATGTATCTTTTTAATATTTACGCGTACCATTTCTTTCAGGCAAAATTCAAGATGTAACTGGGTCCTTCACAACTTTGAACATCATCAATAGCATCTTTATGATAGCTGCAGGATTGCTTCTCTTTCTGTATCCTCTGGTCAAGCGGTTTCAGAACAGGTCATCAAGACAGGCAGAAAACAGGGAGGTTGAAATCCCGGAGGAAGCATCGTGATGTACATAAAAATATGTTGCAGCGTTATTGTCAGTGGGTATCCAGATTGTTAAACAGCTTCCACAATTAAGTGCCAGGGACAGAAAAGACAGGGATAATTAGTTGGCTTTATTTTTATACATAAGATAGAGATAATATCTATGAGTTTACAATACAATACATGATTCTGCAAGTGCTTGTTGGGAAGTTTTTGACATGCATTTAACAGGAACACTATATATATAGTATTCACCTGTTGAATGCTCTCATTATACTTACATAGATTTAAAGGTAAATTAATAATTATATATTGTTTAATACTTGTACTTATATTTTTATTGGCCCAAAATAACTTCATTCTGCATATATTTGTGATGCCATAATTAAGATAATAAGTGATGCTCATTATCTTCCTAATATTGGCCTTGTTGATGTTTTATCAGTTTGTACTGATAATGGAAGTTCAGTACTTGTTGGTACTCACATGGAGAGGGGATTTTGGTGAGAAAAAAGCTGTCTGTCATATTGTTCTTCATAACAACTTTAATCTTGGTCAAATTTTTAAATAAGAAAAGATATCAGGGTTCTCCACATTTGAAAATTTAACCATGGAGGAAGCTGCGCGAAGGTGAAATGTGAGCAAAATGCGTGCTAGACTTCCTAATCTTCATTAATCAATGATTGGTTTTGATCAGGACTGAAATGCAATTCATATGTAAAATTTAATCATGGCGGCTGCCGATTTTAACCATGGCACAGCTCGTTTAACCATAGCGCACAAAAATTTAACCATGGCGGACCGCCATGTAAAACCCCTTGTGGAGAACCCGGAGATATTGTTTTCATAATCTATAAGTGAATTAACTGTGACCTGACCTCTCAGAATATGTCATGTCTTACCATACCTTGACGTTGAAGTTAGTATTTGACCTACTTTCAGAAATTTTCACATTGTTAATAATTTCTCCAGAAGGGAAGGTAGGGCTTTCAAATTTTTTTTAAATACATGACATGTGTACATTTCTTGTGAAACAACCATTTTGATCCCATGGCCTTGACCTTGAACTGTAGTGAAATTTGGTAACTGTAGCTATTTGCATGAAGACAAAACTGTTTAAAGAGAAAAAACTTTCACATGTTGATGGTTCCATAGCCTGTGACAAGACTTTTCATTTATACAATTATTTTTTATTTCAGGACCTTGATACAAGTCCTGCTATTTAAAAATGAAATGTTAATTTGCAGTAACTTTTACAACTGAAAATACAAGGCTTTCACATTTTATAATAAAGATATTACAGATCCTTAAAATATAAAACATTTTGTGAGATGGTTTGACAAATAAGCCAGAAAGATGACATAGTTCAAACAGACACAATATGACACACAAAATGGGGACCATGAACAGCTGATGAATGTCTGAATTTGCTGGTTTTTACATAAAATTAAACTTAGGATTAACATTCCAGTAAATAAATTCATTTTGACAAACCAAGGGACTCACATCTCTTCTCTCCAACCATAGGAGTGGATCAGAAATTCTTGGCTTGTGAAGATCGAATATTAAAATATATGGGCCAAATTCTGCCAGTATATTGTGATGAAGTGAAGAAATTTTGAAAAATTGATATATATTTTGTAAAGTTTATATAGCATATTTTTGTTCAATAGATATTTTGAGATAGTTTATTAATTATGACATGGTTGAGGGATGCTTGATAAAATACAAGTTCTGCAAATACAATGATTTATTTTAGAATATTCCTTATTATTTCCTCACAAAAGAGTTGAATAGGATATTGTAGTTTTGACACACTTGTTGTGTGTGTGTTTATTTGTGTGTGTGGGTTAGTTTGTCCACTGTGAAATGGAAGTGATGTAATTTGTATATTGTATGGGGATTTATGTTGAATGCTGCCTTGATTTATAGATATGCTTGTTACAAGGGGATGGTCTGCTTTGTGATGCCCGTATTAAACATTAATTAATATTATAAACATAATTGCATTTGAAAAGGGGAAGACAAGCATTAAGATGAATTATACATTAAATGCATTTTTGAGATACATGGATACCACCTTTTACCATTTTTTTTTTTATTATTCTAGCTGTCTCAGGTATTTAGAGCCAAGATTTCAATGTTTTCATTATTTGTTCTATTTTGCTTTTTATCAAAGAATCTCAAAATTTACTGAAACATTGTTCATAGCATTTTTTGCAAACAATCAATGTCAATTGACAATTTTACATTATAATAGCAATAGACACCAATTTAAATATTTTTATTGATTTTTTAAGTTTTACCCCATAAATTTTTATTTCAAAATAGGATTTTTTTATTTTTTGCTTTTTAAAAGGTAAATTTACATTAGGATAATATTTTATCTTATTCAATATACTATGTACATTATGTAATACATGTACAATGTAATTATAATAGTAATATAATATAATACATGTATACCCCATTGTATTTAAGCTGTGTAGGAAAAATCATGGAATGTACATGTTTTATTGATTAGAAGTTCCAAGTTATAATCATGTTCATGACAACTTGAAATCATATTTACAAATCTGTAGAATTTCAAGTTTTACATTTTAAATTTTGACTTTTGTTAATATATTAATAATAAATTAACAAGGCACAAAATTGTTATAAAAATATATAAGTATTAATATTTTCTTGATCAGAAAGCACAGGGTACCCATAGCTTTTCATGTGCAGATAATGTCTTTACAATTGATCCTTTTATTTTGCTTGACAACCATATACCGGTATGTCCATAATTGTTTTGTAATTAATGTACATGTACAAGGTTTTATATGGAAAGATGCCCATGATCTACATGTATATGAAATATTTTACGCCATTGCATATATATAAATGTAAGTCTTTTATATATGTTTGAGAAGTGTGTTAAATCCATTTAATATATTTTCAGGGTTGCGCTGAGGATTTTAGTGGTGTTTAATTACTTAGGTACATGTGTTACTTACTACTTAGACTGTGCTACAAAATTAAACACCCTGGCTAGCCCCTAGTAGGGACAACAAGAAGCATTTATTCATAGAACATTTATGTTCAATACACCATCTAGTATACTGTAGATCACTAATTTATCGCGACACCTTATTTTAGCGAGATAGTCATTGACTCTTTATTAGCGAGATATAATTTTCATGAATTGTTGTTTTTCCTCTAAATAATCGTAAGGAATACTTTTAAATGCGAGAATGAAATTTTTGCGAGCTCATTGTCTCACATAATTATGCAAAAATTAAGTTCTCGCGAATAAAACGTGATTCACAGTAGTCTAGCATGCAGCTAAACTAACTGCAACTATCTTAACCCTTTGTGTGCTGACTTGTTTTACGCGAGCTGTAACCTCAGGACTGAGTTGTTTTGTAATATCAACAAAATTATCACAATGGTGTACTAAAATGCAAATATCTAAGATTGTTGACAACCAATTTGCTTGAAATTTGGCAAATATTTAGCAAATGTTGTGTTTTATTAATTGATAATTTTTTTTTTAATCTTATATTTTATGTTGCCATGGAAACCAAATTTTCAAGAAAATATATTTTAAAATGATTTTGTAGCTTTTTAACTATATTTTTCAAAGAAAATATTGCACTTTGATGAAAAAAATAAACCAATTGCTTTAAAATTCAATTTTAGATTTAATATTATGTAAAAAAAAAATTTAATTTTAACAATAACTCAATGATAAAGTCAATGTTTTATATACCGTTATGTTGTGAAAAGTCATTGTATACTTATCTGAGTAAGAGATATATTCATGTAGGTTTAAGTGAATTCTGATTTAAGTTAATGGATTTTTTTTCAGATTTTAACTAAAAAGAGTATAAATTGAAGATTCAATTAGCCTGTAAATATAAAACCAGAGATTATTTTAAGAAATATTGGCAAATTATATAGAAAGTATTATCATCAAAGAAAATGCAAAGGTCTGGAAATCCTAGAGCAAATTGGCACAACAATGAACTAATTGCTGTTACTAGTATTCATTTTCAAATTAAAGCAGTCAATATGTTAAATAAATTAAAAAAAAATAAAATAACATTAATTACACAAGTTACTGAGGTCTTATTTTCTAATGACTGGCCATCTAACAGCCCTAAATCTACTCTAGTAATTCTCATATCACTTTAATTTTTTTTTATTGTGCTTTTATTGAAGAATATGCGATTCTCCGTGCTATCTGTATTGTAAACATATTCATAAACTTTCCTCCCACAATACTTCTCACTCTGTAAGAAATGTGGCATTTATTTTAGAAGTTTTATTCCTAGCTGGCAACAATAATTGCCGGCAGGAAAATAGAATTTTAAATTTTAGAAATTTAAGCACCATTAACAGTCATTTATAATGGTTTTCAAAAATTACTTCATTGTGGTCACTGGTGAAATCAGTTTTGATTTTTTTTCCAATTGATTTTAGTTAATGATGGTTGACAGATATGTAATATCAATCAATGTATTATGAAATACTTTTAAGTTTATGCAAGTGTAATGGTATGGGTCATGGTTGTAGGCCTAGTAAGCTCAGTCAGTAAAGCATCTGACCAGTGAGACAGGGGTCCCTTCTTCAATTCACGGTCCAGTCGTGCATTTTCTCCTTCCTTGTTACAGATTTGATGTTATTGACCCCTCTGGATTTGCAAGTGAAAGTCCTGTCAGGGACTTAGAATTTGGTTTGTGTCTGCAAGGATGAAGATAATTTTAAGGAAGGATATGTAATGGTTGTGCTATGGGTATCAACCTGGGTAGCTCATTCGATAGAGCACCTGACTAGTGAAGCAGGGTTCCTGGGTTCAATTCCTGGTCCAACCACACATTTTCTCCTTTCCTGTTACACAAGTTTTGAATGTGCCTGAATTTTTACTTCAACATAAAATATTATTCCTAATGATGAAATACATTTTATTTCCACCATGGGATTTCTTTGTATTCTTAGTAACTATTCACATTTTCATATTTAAAAATAAACATATCTTTGGAGACCAAAAAGTAATCTTTGTTGATAAATAACTGTACAGGAATTTGCATTTTTGCAAAATTTTCCTGACCATCATTAAAAAAAATTATCACAGTAAATCCTAGCTTTTTTACTGTATTCATTCAGGCATATATGATTATCTCTTATAATATCAAATGTACCTATCTTACATATCTAGAAGGGATGGAATGTAGAAGCTTCTTGGGCCTTATAAACTTGTAAACTAGAGGACATATTACATGTTAATAGGTAAAAACATGTACAGTGTGTACTTTTGAGTTTGAGAGGTGAAGTACAATTTCTATCACCCAGTCTTTATTGTAATTTATTGAACAGATGTACATGCAAGTCCATACAATTCACAAATTACTCATTCTAAAGACTCTGATCTCCTTCTTATGCCTAAAAAAATGACTTTTCATCTTATGCCCTGTTCACACGACAAGTTTAATTCGCAGTAAATTAATGCGAAGTAAACTAATGCGAATCAAATTAATGCGAATTAAATTGCGTTCACACGACAGCTAATGCGAAGTAAACTAATGCGAATAAAAATTTTACTTCTACAGTCAGGCATAAGTAAGTCTATTATGACGTCATTTGTAAACCACATCATGTATGCAGAGCCATCCATTTGATTCATCATGTAGTGGCTACAGGTATTCATTGATTTTAGTGATTAACATACTTTCCCTCAATTTTTGAACCAAATATAGCACAAATACCTAT